GATCCGTTTGGATAAACATGCAATTATCCACATCACAATTAAAAGGAATCCGACAACGATTCACAACAACAACGTAATACGATAGTGACTGTTACCATCTTCACCTTACACACGTATTCAATTCAGTACTGCTGTACTTATATATTCATTTTCGAAGGCTCATATTAGTCATATTTATGCCGGTTTTGCAAATGGCCTGAATTTAGAAGGGTTCGGTATATTCGGTACACAAAATTTAAGTGTTTGTCAATCATATATACCGGTACGTCGTTTTCGGTACAGTACACCGAAATATTATGTTTGCGCTGCGATGCTGAGGTGTTTTATATCTGCAGCCCCTCTTATACCTTTCGTAAAAATATCGAGTTATAGCATTATATTATTGAGCTTGTGATAGTATTGTATTATACATCTATGATCGGTCCTTAATCTTTTGTGCCAGCAAGGCTCCAAGGAAGAAGGTTGGCCACCAAAAGGCGAGGATTGGTATGGTACCGCTGGCAGCCAAGAACATGGCAGGGCCTGGACACAATCCAGCAACTCCCCAGCCAATTCCAAAGCACAGAGAACCAATCAATAATTGGCCATCAATGTTCTTGTTGGTGGGAATCGAAAAGCCACTTGATCTGCGTGGGCATTCCATGGCGTACGAGTTTTGGACGATTCCATGTCCAGAGACAAATTGATACGAGATCCAGCTGACAATGGATCCCCCAGCCATGACCATGATGAGAGTTGGGTCCCATGTTCCCTTTTCCAGTAGAAACAAGTTGAGGAAACCAATGATCTTGGATGGCTTGACCATTCCACTCAAGGCAAGGCCAGTGGAAAAAGTGACACCTGCCATTGCTGCCGGTTTCAGCTTGCTCACACCGTCCATGATGTTGACGCGTTCGTTTCGATTTGGCATCTTCTTGTTGGCAGTGAACTTGGGCTCGACTTCGACTACAGAGTCGGAAGCTATTTGCTCCGTAGTGTCAGCAGAAGCTTCTTGTTGTTTAGTAGGATCAGCAGCCTCTTCGTCATGGTGGTGGACGACGTGCAGTTCAGTAGAGCCTTCCACTGGTGCAACCTTCGCTTCAGCATCAGTGCTGATAAGTTGATAGGACCTTCGGAGATTGAACAAGGCATAAGCAGCAGCCAGAACAATGGGGACCACGACAGCCAGTCCGATCCCTTGATTGAAAAGTTCAAAGGATTGGTCCGTACGCAAAAAGGCAGTGTACTCGGCAAGAGCCTTGTTATCAGGTGCCACCACGTTGGCAGTGGCAATAGCAGATAGCATAAAGGTAGCTACCGCAGAGAAGGATCGCTTGCTGAGCCGGGCCATACCACAAATGCCGTGGCCTGTGGTACATCCATTGCCCAATCGGGTACCGAACCCAACAAAGAAGCCGCCAATCAAATATCCTGCCATGCTGACAATTGGTATGCTTGGATCGTTGAATAACCGGTTATCCTCATGAAAGAATTGTGCCAAGACAACATTGGAAACAAGCATAAAGATGGCAATGAGAAATAGCTTCCAGGCAACTCCAGGGTCTGTGAGTGCCTTTCGTGGGTAGAGACCTGTGGAAGAGACGAGGCCACTGGCTCCCAAGATTTCTCCGCAGAATAGAAGCAAAATGGCAGCAGAGCCTCCTGCGATGGTTGAATGAATGATGTAAGGGATATAATAATGTGAGATTCAGACTTTTGTTTACATTATGATAGAACACACACACACACATACACACACAAACACATACACACATCACATCACATCACATCACATCACCAAAAGAGTATATAGACTTACCTATCAGGGCGCCACCAAGGGCTCCAAATCCAGGTGTAAAGTATGCAATGACCATTGTTGTTGTGGTGGAGTTGTGATGTAGTTGTTGTTGGGACTTTGAAAAAAGTTCGAGGTTTGTGAATTTATGAGCAATCGAACCATTTTCATCGGAAGTTTACGATCCATCAAAAGCCTGATATTCATGAAAATTCGGCACTATTTTGGCCTTGTTGGTACATTTCGGAGGATTCATCATCGCGATTTGATTCTTCTCATCAGGGAAGAGAATCCGACCTTCTGCGCTGCGAATTGCGCATTATCGTCGAACACTTTGACGTTCGCCGTTATTGATTTAAATATTTGTTCCTTCATAATGTTCGATTTGGACAATTTCTTCGACCATTCCGATTGCGGGCTTCCATTAGTTTCGTCTTCCTTCTACCGGTATATTCATCATCGCAATCACAAGCATCAATCGTCACAAGCATCAATCGTGAGCATTTTGGATGATGACAACAACTCCCAATTCGAACACTACCAGTATCAGTAAATACCCACAGCAGCAGCAACTGATGGAAGTCGCACAAGGCAATTTGTTGCTCATGGAAGCCACGTATTTGGAGCTAGTCAGCAACATTCGAGCCCTCGTCCAATCGAATCAAGACTTGGAAGAAGCCTTGACAGCAGAACCAAACGATTTGGACTTTCAGCAAGCTGTCAAAGAAAACACGTACATTGTTCTCAAGAAGCGAGAACAGCTAGTAAACCTCGTGACGGATATGCGACGAATGGGAGGCAACATTGACATTCCACCAGATATTCAGCAAATGAATTTGGATCTCAAGGGAACAGCGGGTGACGTTACACAAGAACCAGTGGTTGCCAACAACTTGGTCCGCGTGGAAGAAGAAGGCACTGGGGGCGAAGAGGAGGGAGTATACTTGTAAACACTCATCTTCTTGTTTGTGGTTTCGTTTCTTTAAGGATAAATCATCGGAGGGACTATATACATGGAATCAGAAGCTTCAAATCCGAGTCAATAGTCCCTCATCAGGCTGACTTTTTATTGAGCGCTAGATGGATGAATGCATCAGTCAACCAATCATTCGACCTTTGATTCAATCGAAGGAATTCTCGCTGCATGGTGAGCCGAATCTAAATATGTATACATACTGTATACTAGCACCTAGCAGCTAGCACCACCATTGTCTTAGAATACATTCGTAACATAACCTCAAGACCGAAATAGAAGATGCTCCTTCGAATGCTTTTTTACTATTGATACAGATTAATGAATAATGCCGCGTTTCCCCTTTTGCCATAGTACTACTATTTTGTTGATTTGATCTATCCCCCTTCATATTTAATGCCAATGAATCGGTTTCCTTCCTCATCAATCTCGGAAGTCGGTGGCGGCGTTGGTGTCGGTGGAGGCGATGGTTTGGGGGAAGGTTCAACACTGATGGAAGGGGCGCTCGAAGGAATCTGAGATGGGACCATGCTGACGGTGGGGCCCGGTACGGGAGGTTTTCCACTGCCAATGTGTTTCACATTGATATCTCCAATCGCCATCGACTGGTGATCAACATCATCAGGATGTTCGCCAATAAAGGGAATACCTCGGGTTTGAGCAATGGCATTGAACTGGGTGGAGGGAGCCTCGGAGGGTGCCTCGGAGATGAGTTCATCGTCAATGAAAATGAAACTGAAACTGTTGAAGTGAGAAGGAAAAAAAGAGGGACGGAAAAAGTGAGAACATGTAACATTTCAACAAAATCAATGCAATGCAATGCAATGCATCCATCCATTCACACACTGCACTATATATCCTACCTTTCCCTAAAACTAAATGTGAAACTCTCAATGATACTGAATGTAAAGCTCTCCACAATACTAAAGGTGAAACTGTCAATGATACTGAACGTAAAGCTCTCAATGATACTGAACGTAAAGCTCTCAATAAAGCTGAACTCGTCCGCATAAATGTCAATGAACCGACAAATGTAGCCAGTAGTACCATGATATCCACCATGATAAGGGGTTCCATCACCATAGGGAGTGAAGTAGGTGTGATCACTCGGAGAATAGTAGTGATGGGGATCGACATAGCGGCGAAGCTTGCGCTTGCTTTTGGCATTTCCAGTCATGTCCTTGCCATCATGATCCTTTCGCCAGTCATCATCGTCGCCGCCGTCCCTCCTTTCCGATTGCCAGCCATCGTCGTCCAAATCCCTTCGTCGTTGTTGGTTCTTCTTGGTGCTGGCGTACCCGCCATAAGAAGACGCAGAGGAAAGATTGCGGCGTTTGCTTCCTGATTTCTTACTACCACTACTACTGCCACCTTTTCCTTTGCCAGAGTAATAATAGTATTCGGAGCTTCCGCCCTTTCCCTTTCCTTTGCCAGACTCATAGTAGTAGTACTCGGAGCTACTTCCACCCTTGCCTTTTCCTACTGGAGCATGATGCTGCTGTACTGGCGCATGATACTGCTTCACTGGGGGGTGATAATTATGGACGTACATGCATTCCACTCCATCTATAAAGGTAGGACCAGTGTGCCACATCCGTCGCCTTTGAGCCTCTTCTTCCGTCTCGCCTGCGCGGCTCTTGGAAGCTGGCTTTCGCGGTGCGGTGGGTGCCGAAAAGCGATTGGACTTTTGTTTGGATTTGTAGGATGGCGGTGATTGTTGTTGTTGTTGTTGTTGTTGTTGTTGTTGTTGTTGTTGTTGTTTTGATGATGGAACTCGTTTCAGAATAGATGGAGTGGCAGCAGATATTGAAGATTTTCTCGAATAGGCAGTTGAATCATTATCATTCCCATCGTCCTCATTAGTTGGATTGGCATGCCAAGCAGAGATTCTGCCTTGCGCCATTGGAGCCCAGCATGCTAAGCATAGTAAAAGCAGCAACTTTGCTGATGCGTGATTTTGCCTCCTCATTTTGTAGTGGGTATAAGTACCGCTGCTGCTGAATAGCCGATGAGGTTGTAAAACGAAATCGCAGTAGCACCTGATGATTTTTTTCAATGATGGATTTGTTCGGACGGAAGTGTATTTATAGGCGGATCTTCGCATGCGAACACGGATTACTCGTATGCAACGACTCACAATTAGACTGCTTCGACAAAAATTGTCCATTTGGATATTCAACAGACAACAAATTTTTCGATGGCTGGCCAAAAATTGACTCGCACGATCGTGTAGCCCACATAATTAGGAACCGTTTTCTTTTACAGAGTCAGTCATCGCAGTCTTTCACCATGTCCGTCCATATCCATTCATTTCCACGATAGAAACCCCCCATTGACAAGCAGATTGTTAACGGAATGAAGCAAAATAGCACATACTCCTTTATACCGCACAATAATAGAGGGTGAAGACTGTACTGTGGCGTCAGTCTATCTACTTGACTCACTCGTCTCTGAAGAAGAACAAGAAGACATGGCACGAGTAAGAGACTGTCCACTTGCTGCCAGCTTGAGGTTCTTTTCCTTGTGGTGTATTCCCCTTCTCTTTCTATTCTTATGCCAACCATTAACGGCTTCAACATTGCCATCCAAACGACATCGATCCTTACCCGAAGATGAGATCTACAACAACGAGTTTCCAGGAACAGAACGAAGCAAGAGAATCAAGAAGCAGCAATTAGCCAATTTGTTGCCATCCAATGTGGAACCAACTCTCTTGGAACGTCGGCTTGATAATAAGGCAAACCGAAAGGGCTACAGCGACGTGACTGGGCGGCGAATGCAGAGGTCAAAGCCTACTACCATCGATGATCGAATATTATCTTCCAAGAAAAGTTCCAAGCGGTCCTCTTCATCATCGGAATATTATACCTACTATTCCACAGACTACTACAGCAGCAAAGGAAAAGGTGGAAACGGAAAAGCTTCCTCTGTCTACTCCAGCGGCAAAGGGGGCATGTTTCCGCCCGTCTTGTATGTTCCGATACCGGTGCCTACCACATCATCCTCCACTAGTACTAGTAGTGCCGAGGAGGAGGACGACAATATAGAAAGTTCCACTGACGAAAACAGCGATGATGAAGATAATGATGAAGAGGACGAGGACGAAGGCGATGATGGTCACGACGATGAAACATTGAATCTTTTTGACTTTTTGGAATACCAGGAATTTAAGCCTGCGGCACCACCAACGTTGAGTCCAACAGCGTCACCCCCAACTTCCAATGCACCATCCTTTAACCCTTCGCAATTTCCATCCACCGCACCCACAAACTCAATCACGCCGTCCAAATCGATAGCACCGTCCGAAAGGCCGTCACAAGATCCATCCGTTTCATTTCAACCATCGCAATCACAGAACCCGAGCAGATTACCATCTGGATCCTTCCAGCCATCAGAATCCGCTTTTCCTAGTAGTGGCCCGTCTGCATCTCAAAGTCCGAGTGAATCATCTGCCCCACCATCCGAGAGCATTCAGCCTTCCACTGTTCCATCTAGCGCGCCCACCATCGAACCGATCGTATTCGGAACGGCTACTATCAAAATTAAGAGTCAACTGTTTGACACTGACAGCGGCAATGCGGGGGACAAAATGGGCGATGATATGCAAAATCCGCAAGAAATTTTCTTTATTGGTGATCAAGGGTGAATCTGCAAGACAGTTTCTGCATTAGTCGGCATCAACAAGGCTAACTTGCAGGGAAAAAAGTATTGTTGAAAGTCTACAAACAATCCAAGTCGAGGACGGTTTGTACAACGAGCTGCGAATGGGTTTTAGAATACTCACGATGTATTCAGATCGAACAAATTGCAATCCAATATGCCCAAGAGAACCCGCGGTGATCCAAAAGTATGCAAAAAGATAGCGGTACCGGTACAGTGCGTTACATATTTGCTCAAACAGATCGTCCGCCGCTCAACGACCGCATTACGAAGGAGGGTTCTAAAATCAAGATCTCCTCATGCAAAAGTTTTATTTTAGGTCCCTAGCTTGCATACTCTTTTTTATTTGTGAGTGAGTCATATGGTGTCATATGGTAGCCCTCAACCTATCACTCTCAATTTACCATATGAAGAGTTCTTCATAATATACATTATAAAATATGGTAAAAGAGTACTGCAGTAGTCCCCGAGTTGAGACTTGCCAATTCTTATAAAAAAGGCGGTATATATATTTTATACTGCGCTACATATTCAATATATATATTTTATGGATGTCATAAAAAACTCCGCCAGAAATTCATATCAGAGGAATAACAACAACATGAGCTGCCCTCATATTGCTTCATCCTTATCAACTCAGTATAGAAATACCTCTTTTGATGGCATACCGACAAGGTCATCCTCCTCTCCAAGTCTGAATGACTACCTCGCATCACATGGACTCTTGCTCACCATGTGTTTCCCTAGTTCATGCTCCTTTGGTTTCAACGCGGAGTTCTTCTCCGCCAGTTGGATTCAACAAGATCTTGGACCTCGCATCATTCCTTCAGCATCTGGTGTAGGTCTCATCTTGGATCCATCCCTCGTTGACATCCAATGCATCTATCCGACGGATGCCGGGACTCTTTCTCGAGACAAGAAAGGATGTGGTCCAATGTTCTTTGACCCCCATGGAGGCTCAAAAGGAGCCGCTTCTTACAAGAAACATCCAATCAAACGGCATCTTGCTCAAAAATTTCTCACAGACTACAAGAATTTGAATTTTGGACGCAATACTCGATGGGAAGATATTGATTGCATGGAATTCTTTGATCTCCCCCCTATTCAGTTTCAACGGTTGTGGGGGTACACTGACGAGGATGGCAACAACAGTACATCGGTTCAATATTATCAATTAGCAGCTCTCTCAAATGAGAACTTTGCTGCCATCATGGGGCACGATGTGTGTTCTGTGGATCTTGAACCAGATGTTGACCGACGTCAGTTTCCATTGTATTATGATGCCAAGTCTTGGGATCCCCTAGATCTTAAAGAGGTCATTGATTTGGAAATGGGATTCATCCAAAATCATACTACCAGTCGCGACTGGATTTGGAACGAATTCGTAATCTCCTTGCCCGTCGAGCTTCCGCCTTTGGTTCTTGGAGTATTTTATGTAAATGAGAGTTATACTGGGAAACTGCACAAGCGTCGGGAAGCAGCCCAGAGGCAGGCCAAGACATTTGGAGACCTTCCTGTCTTTATCCTGCACAATGAAAAGAATTGGGATGGTGACATTTTTGAATGTGACAAAAACATTACCGAAGGTGAACTGACGAAAAGAACAAACACGGGTCACCAATCCGAGTCTCGAGACGACTGGCAACACATAGCGATGATTCAAAAACATTTGGCCAGCAGAAGAGACCTGCGTTTTGAGAAGATGCATGTTGTATCCGTTGTCTAGGCCGTAAACTCGCATATTAGCTGTTAGTCATTTTAATCCAATTCAAATGACAAGTCAAATTAATGGCGTAATCAAAAGCAAGGATACGAAAGTTTATATCTCCATCAGGTCCATCGAATCACCGTCGATACTGCAATGAATGGAAGCATCGTCGTCGTCGTTTTCAATTTCGTGAGAGGATGACTCATACATGGAACCAAATTGCCCGTCACTATCAGTAGATGCAGTCCTAAAGCTGGTATTTTGAAGGCTTCGGAGACCGTTCGGTCGCGAGAGGTCACTTCTGGTGGAACTGGAGATTTGCGATTCAGCATCATCGTCTGGGTCAGCTGACTTGGCATTGAGCTGCACATGGCCAACTTCGATATGCTTACGATAGGTAACAAAGTCTTGAGCCAGCTGAAACGTGTCCACTGTGCCGGTGGCGAGATCATCTGGTAGGTATTGTTGGTAGCCTTCCATAAGATAGTTGTCGAGCATGGGTTCCTTGATAACCTTGACCTTTTTTCGAAACGATGGGGCCAGCATGGGCTTCATTATTTTCCAAATACCCCCAAACCAAGAAGGCGGATTCACAATCAAGAATAGCTCAACTGCCACAGGAACGACCACGGCCTGAAGAACCATCATGAATTGATAACAGTAATTTACTTCGAAATTCGACATTTTCCAGTCATTCATGCAGGCGATGAAACCAATTCCGTTTTTAGCATTTCCTTCCTTCTCCGCCATGCAATTGATAACATAGACCAAGTTGTTGATGACATCTTTGACACTGTCTTTCCGATGAAATCGACAAGGTTTCATGTAAAACATTTCAAACCCAGCATTTGATAAGAGTCCAGGAACTGGAAAGAGAGTCTGCGAGAAGGGGCAAAGATGAGAGACACAATAAAGGCGCAGTTCAACTGAATGCTCCCAACAAACACTTACTGCCGTCAAGAGCTGCTTTTCCAACTTGTTAGCTGAGAGAAATAAGTTTCTCTCTTTTGTCTTCTTCATAGCCTTCCATGCCTTGCTCAAATTGAAAGACCCATCTTTCCGACAAGTATTTCGAAGGAATCGAAGAATCATTGTTTCCGAATAAGGAGCACCGCCCTTGTCCTTTCGTTTCTTTTCCCATCGAGTCTGAAGTTTTTGATAGCATTCGTAATCCTTGTCAGAGATATCCAAAAATTGGTTACGCAATGACCTTTCATTGAGGGGGTGAAATCGCATGGGTCCCTCGTCGAGTTCTGGCAGAACGCCATCTTCGCCCATTGTTCGGCTGGATTGCCAAAGACTTGATTTGGATAAACTCTGCTGCGCCCTCCCGCCTGACGAGGATGAAAGACTGCGCAAAGATCCTGTACGAGAGACCGTTGCAACAGCAGTGGCAGCTGGAATCACTTCAACCGGAGCAGTAAGACTCTGCATGCTTCGGGCTTGTTTCGCAATCTCCGCTTCTCGTTGTTCCAATTCCCGTTCTCGTTCTTGAAAGAGACGCTCTCGCTCCGACATGACAAAGGACGATTCCCGGACCAAAGTAGCGGTCACCGTAAAACTACCGCTAGGCTCTGGTGCCGTGATTGCAAAGTCACTGCCATCGTCTTCGAAACTATTGTCATCACTATCATCACTTTCGGATTGAGATTGACCATTGGATGCCATTCGCATGGCGCCCGGCATGCCTCCATGGGCCGACCGTGCCAAGCTGTGCATGGATCTATCCTTTTCGGAGGCTTTGCTGTGAGATTCTGATTGTAAGGATTCAGCTTTTTCGGATGCAATATCTTCAATTTCCTCGTCCTCATCAAAACTCGTAAAACTGTCATCACTGTCAGATTGCAATTGACCGTTGGCTGCCATTCGCATTACTCCCGGCGTGACTCCGTTAGCCGATTTCGCCATGCTGCGAAAGGCTGATTCAGCACTTTTTTCGGAGGATTGAGAGGTTTGAACGGAAGCTCGAGATAAGGTTGATGATGTACTGGGTGTTGGGGACAGTGCCGACCTGTTCATCATTCGAGCAGCTTGCCTTCGAGATTGACGTTGGTAATTGGTGACTTCTAGAGAGGCCCTTCGGTTTATTTCTGTTTCAGGTATCGGTGGGAGTAGTGATCGTGCCGCTCGGGCGGAGCCTTTTTCATTTGTGACGGCATCGTGTGCATGCATTGCCGCTTGCTGCTGTTCTTGCATTTCACGAATTCTCCTTTCTTCCTCCTTGGCGGTTTCATCTTGCACCCAACGTTCGCGTTGTTGCTTCTGTCTTTCTTTCTGTTGTTCGATTCGTAGTCGCTCCTCCTCTTCGGAAGCTTCACGCTTCAATCTCTGCTCTCGAAGAGATCTCTCCTTTTCCTTCATGGCCTCATCGCGCAGATGCTGTTGCTGCTTACGCAACTTCTTTTCCTCTTCTTTCCGCTTGATATCTTCTTCACTGACATTTTTGTCTCCTCTTAGGTTGCCCTGAATGTCCCTGGCAAGCTGATTCAGCTGTTCCCTATTCTTGTGATCGTCACTACTAAGCTTCGCAGCAGTTGGATTTTTCTGAAGAGGCGTCGATCGCTCGCTGGTTCTAGAAATCTGGACAGTCTTTGGAGGAGTGTGAGATCGTTGTGCAAAGGTGCTGGTTCGAAGCCGTCTCCGTATGTACTCATTTTGATACTGAAGGTTCGATCGGAGGTTCGAAATTTGTGTCATTTCATTTGTAGAGACCTGAGATGAGACCGTAGACTCGGACTGCTGATGACCAAGTTCATTCTGATAAGATTCATTTTGTTGCTTGAGCACCTTTATCCGCTCGTCCTTTTCGGAGCACTGCATCTGCAGTCGTTCGGTTTGTTTTTGGGATTCTTTCAGTTGAACTTCTAAAATGTTTCGTTCTTCATTCAGAATTTCAACTTCTAATGTTGCTGAAGCCTGACTTTCGATAATCTGGCGCAGTTCTTCAATGCTAAAGCTACTAGACCCACCGCTTTCGATGACCTCGTACCTTCTTCGCATGGTTGCTTCAACATCGTTGCGTTTGTCGGACAACATTTGGACCGATTCCAAGTTTTTCTTCAGCTTATTCAGTTCCCTTTGAAGACCTGAGAGCTGCATGGTGAGCTCGGTATGCCGTTGAAAGACGGCATCTGAGTCATCGTCATCAGACGCATTTTCAAAGGACAGCATATGCTGCGCCATTTCTCGAACAACTTCCTTCCGTTTCAATTCACAGTCTTCGATCTGAGAATTTAGGGTGGAATGTTGACTATCTATGTATCGGAATAAGTCTTGCGCTGAACAGCACTCTGACAGCGACTTTTCATCAGCAGTGTCTTGTTCTGCATCTTCTAGTTGCTCATGCTGTTGCTCTTGTTGTTGGCTCATCATCGTATCCTTGTGGCCTTGCTCCTGAGGTGCCATTGTGTTTAAATGGTTCAACACGAAAGTTTTGGTTGGCGCCGGAAGATTATCTTTCAACTTCTGTTTGGAGACTTTTGCTCATTTCCATTATGTAGAATTCTCCGAGCGAAGTCATTGAAAATCTTCTCTACTTAACGAGTGATCATTTCGGGATAATCAAATGAAAGAAACTTGTCAAACAATTGAAAATTAACGGACCAATGGAAAACCACCATCGTGTCAATAATCGTTGGCGAACAGTCTATTCATGGTAGAGCACGTGTTCGGCTCACAATATTCTTGCCGGTACACCCCAAATGTGTTGGCGCTACCTTCATATAGCTGTAAAAATTCTTGTCTTGCTTTCAGTACAAGGATGTATCACACAAGTCTACTGTGTTTGTACCAGCCCCCTTTTTGATGTCGTCTGCAATTCGTCCAACCAAAAAAAGCTGACAAGAATAATAATAATTCTTCGATCGCTTATATTCTATTTTTTGCTTCCACCACAATGGTGAGCCTTGTGGCCAAGGAATTCATCACCCACTTTATGAAATTTATTATGATCGTATCGATCTTGTTCACATTAAGTGATATGGACGAATTAGCCTCTTTGACCAAGCTTTGACCTTTGAAATGACCACTCATGACACACCGACAAGATCTGATGTCCCGTTTTTGGAGCCCCCTGGACGCCATGTCAATAAATTGGTACCCAACAATACGCCAATCCCCCCGATGATTCACAAGGAATACAGAAGCATATGATCCATTGAAAGATCTTGATCAGCTGAAACGCAGAGTGACCTGAAAAAATGAGTTGAGGGAAAACTAGTTGTGAAAAATTGAACCAAACGTCCGGATGCAAGTCGAGAAGTGCACAATCTTCATACTGAACATGTGCCAGAAAGCTCGGAAACAATCAGCCGGACATAGCGATCCACTCAGGACAGCTCTGCTACCATTATTGACGATTTTACCGGCATGAAGGTAAGTTGGTGGAATACTAGTAGTTGTGAAAAATTGAACTATAAGTATTTATTGAGTCTATCGTTTGAGTTTTGTTACAATTCGGACAACACTGTCCAAACTTTTATATGTTATAGAAAATAAACATTGCGTGATTATTATAGCTGTAGGAGTGGGTAGAATATAATTGCAATTGCTTTCTTACATACCGTATCGCATTTCGGTATAGGTAGATAGCCCTATGCGACATATATGAAAGAATATTCAATACTCCTAATACTTTCAACCATTATCGCAATTGAAAGACCAATAGAAAACCATCATCATATATATATCATGCCAATCGTTGGTGATCAGTCTATTCGTTAATTGAGCTCGTGTTTGGCTCGCAATAAAATCCAACGGATTCACAGATGCCATCTCCTCATTCTTGCTGGGACACCCCAAATGCTCTGCTCGCACTGTTGGGGGTTGAATGGAGCTCAACTGATGCACTATTATTTGCTCTGTATGTTTTAAGTTCTGGTAAACTCATCCCTCTGTGCATGTTATTGACATTTTTCCATGAAAGGTGGAAGCATATTATATCATTGGTTTGGCATTCATTCTGGTAACATGATATCAAAAGCATGACTGAGACTATAGTCTTTGAATTTGAAATCATCACCGATTCCATTCTCTACAAGTAGCTGCGTTGTGCAGCCTGTAGATTTTCTAACTAGAGGATATTGAGCCTCCGATTCTCACGTTGAGGTCGGTTCTTCCATCGTCGTATCGTAAAGCACAAACCCAAATTAGAAACATCACTATTATTATTGTTATGCTAGTCATCCCATTCGTCGAGTGGTGCGTGCTCCCATAAAGCTGGCAAGTAGCATAGTTCTCTAGCAGCTGATCGCTCTTGAGACGACAGTGACGACCAGTCTTTTTGGACCACGAGAGGTGCAGTATCGTTGGACCAGGTGGTTCCTTCCCATCCCAATGCTTCCGCGGCCCACACCAGACCGAAGCAACTCAACTCTTCCCATCTGTAGTCTTGATAATGATTTTGCCAGCAGTCCCATGTTTGAGGAGTGAATCCTAGATCCATAATCTTTTGTTGGTTTGAAGTAGACAGGAATCCGAACGACCAACGTTCCAATTCATAGGCTCCAGGATGGTTCCAGAGGTCCTCTGTGTATCCAAGATCCCGAGCTGCGCTCCGAAGGGAGTCATCCAGCGCATCCCAACTATTCCACCGGAATGTTGGTATTGGCAATACAATTGATTTTCGGTCACAGGTATCCGCACCGCAGCAAAACTGCCCCTCGTTTCCTGGCGTGCGAATGGAACAGGCTGAGCTCAAGCAAGAATCATCACTGTTGATGCTTTCAATACTTTCGATAGTAGGAGAAGCAGAGTAGGAAGATGGACCTTCTGATGCCAATTCGGATGGAGGCATGGATGCTATCGTGATTGGAAATGTGGATGGCATGTCAGAGTCCATGTCGGAAGGAGCCATTGACTCTGTTTCTTTCGTGGTTGGACCTGAGGATGGCTCGTCGGAATCGCTGCTGTACAATGCCATTGAAGGTGACAAAGTTGGCTGGTCGGAGGGTTTAGGTGTTGGCGAGACGCTACCGCCAACCTCGACTTCTGTTTCCGGCTGACTAGCATATGCTCGGTCATGATTCTTTGCTCCATCCAACCAGCCTTCGTTCCAATCGCCAAGGGGTGTCCCGTTCCAAAGTTCCGGAAAGTAGCAGAGGCTTCGAGCGGCATCTTGCTCAGCGGGAGTGAGATCACCCCATTCTTTTTCTTCCTTCAGAGTCCATTTTGTCGAATGAATACTCCCCCAAGAGTCGGCATCCCAACCTAGAGTTGTATATTCAGCCGCCAACCCGTAACATTCGAGTTCGTTCCACGAGTATGACTGATAGTGATTGATCCAACAATCGTATTGGAACGATGACATTCCCATGTAAGCGAGTAGCTCTTGATCGTGAATATCCAAGAATGAAAGGTGTTCGATAGGATTTGTCCCAGGCATATCCCATGTGGTTTCGGTGTATCCAAAGACATCTACAAAATATAGCATGGTCAGGTTGGTATATACCGTAGTCTTCCAATCTCCAAACCGAAAGGATGGAGCGGGATCAATAACCTCTTTTTGTAAACACTCGGCTGGGTTACAGCAATAATGGTTCTGATTGGACACGGTGCGGGCCGAGCAAAGTGAACTCCGACAGCTGCTGCTGTTGTGTGATGACCCGGATAGTATCTCTGTGTTGGATGGCATTTCGGCGGGATTATCACTGGTCTCGTCTTCATTCCCGAGCAACACTAGAACTGATGGATTATCCTCGAAAGACTGGTGATCGTCAGGATCTACACCACCATTGTCTCCCATTGCCATCATTTTGCCCACAAAAGGATCTTTTTCAAAATTCAGACTTTCAGTTTGAAATGCTGCGTGATGGTTTCGATCTCGGAATAGATAGACTGTCGGTGACAGTGTCGTTGTGGTATCTCTCTCTGGAGAAACAGTTGGCGCAAACTTTGTAAAGGCGTCAATACGATCGAGTGGTTTCAGTAGTGGATGATGCGTCGGCGGCGCAGTCGGTAATGGTTGCGGAACTAGCGTCGCTGCTTGACTGGCATCATCGACTGTTGGAGCTTTTGAGTGGACCCCAATTCCATATTTGGTCTCCTCTTCATCCACTAGTGGGTACCTTATCTCTCCGGGTCCAAACGTTATTGAAGTACCATCGCCTGCTTCTGCATCATCATCGTCAGCTACAGCAGTTGGTGTTGGTGTAGCAGGAGGTGTCGGTTGTGACGTTGGTCTTGCTGTTGCTGGTCTAGGTGTTGTGGCTGTTGTTGTGATCTTTTGCATTGGGTGATGATGGGCCGAACGTTTGCTCTTTTTGGAACTCTTGGAGGAGGAGAAGCTTGAACTTCGTTTCGATGATTTCAGAACTCTTCGTTTTCCAATCACTTCGTAAAAAGATTTTTGTTGTTGTTGCTCCGTCTTATTTCTTCGACGAAGCTTTTGTTTCTGCGTCGTTACCGTTGTGACTGAATCTTCTGACCTTCCCAACAGATATGATTCAATGTTGTGGTTCCAGGAAGAAGAAAAACCGCCCCTTCTGCTACCATTATCATAGCTCCTTTCCCCATTTGCTGACCCAAGCAATAGAACAATACTGCATAGAATATATTTTGATGAGCTCTTCATTGTTGGTGAATCGTTCTTATTATTGTCATCTTGCGGCAATGGTTCCGAATAACTATGATGTCAACCTAAATAAACGAGTCAATGTGCGCACAGTGCACCTCGTTCATGGCTCGACTTGCGCGATGAGTTCAATCTGGCCCTTCGGGAAATAACGGAGGAACCCGCATTCGCCGATCAGGTCGTAGAGTTCTGAAAAATACTTATTATTCACGTGGCGATATTGAATGCAAGCGTACCGGTACGTCTGATCTCCAAACATATTATATATATATAACACCTCACTGCGGTATTTATTGTACGCAGAATGCGCGGTATGTGCGTAATACCTATCGTACTGTACCAGATTCATAATATGATGACTGCTGTGCATATTGGTCAACACTTGCATGAGACAAGCAATAGTGCTGTATTGTCACAGTTGAATATAGTAATACCAGTTAGTTACCAATAAGGTAGATTGGATCACAAGGTACCAGCATATTTGCTAAACAAGCAGAGTAGATACACAAACACACGCCTCTATTCTGTCCATCCCGCGTACCATACACCACGTAATAATACTATTATGAGCACCAATCTGCAATCTGGAATGATCTCCTCATCATCATGCTTCAATGCTTGTGGAGACCAGCAGCCATCCGCATTTCAGAGTCACTTCATGGCCGATCGTGGTGGTATAAATAGTTCCAGGAAGAACGACAACGATGTGGAAGCAAGCCTAGTGCAAGGAATGAAGAACCTTACCTTTGATCAGCTCCAACGGGAACAAGAAGATTTTCATGGTGTTGCAGATTACGGTGCTGCTCATCGAGAACAAGACCCGAAAGCCATTGGCGAATTACTTCAGTCGCTGGATGCTCACTTGGCAAGAATTAAACCAGGGACCATTTATGAAACAGCTTGTATGAAAGACCCCGCGTATGTTTCGAACAGAGACTTTCGAATGCTCTTTCTGAAAGGAAATCGATACGACCCAAAGTCATCTGCAGAGCAAATGATCCGGTATTTTGATGTCAAGCATAATTTATTTGGTGACGAATGCTTGGTTCGAGATATCACAACCCAAGACTTGACTGAAGATGACATTGCATCTGTCATGGCTGGCGGTGTACAAATGTCAAGCTGCACGGACAGTTCGGGACGTTTGATTTCCTGGGGGTTTCCAGGGGTACGAGTAATAGACCATGTCCCGAAGAAGAACAAGCTCCGTCATATATTTTACTATGGTATGGACCTGGTATCATCGGCTGAAGACACGACGAAAGGAATCGTTTTGGTGTCCTATCAGGTTGGCCAGTATCGAGAAAGCAGAATTGATCATGACTTGCATTATGAAGTGATGCAGTTGGCATTGGCGCTCCCATTTAACATTGCTGGGTATCATTTTTGCTTTAGTAAGTCTTATATATTTGCCGCCACGCTTCGCTGCTCGCAGTCTTTCTAACTATGTTTCTTCCTTTCTTTGGACTACTACTTGCTACCTGCGATGATTTTGTTTTTAAAATAGGTGACAGGGCACACTGCATGCTTGCTCACACGGCTGTCAGTTTGATGCCGTCTCATCTGCGTGCCAAGACCCGTATCCATTTTGGCACCCACTTTGAGTGTCAGTACTTGTTGTCCACCTATGGTATTCCCCGCGAAGCCTTCCCGTTCAAACACCCAAGTAATGAATTGGATTTGACCTGGCAAAAGTATTGGTTCCAACAATGTCAGGAAAGAGATCAACGAAAGCTGCAGCTTCAGGCTAGCAGGGAACAATCATTATCACCACAATCACTGTCATCCACAACAACAACAACAACCTCATCAACAACAGCAAGGCAAAAGGAAATCGACAAGCACATACAGTATTTAAGTAGCCTTTGGCAAGGCGAGACTCCAAGCGATGATGATGTTCTGTGTGTCGGTAGAAAAGTTAATGGAAAGGGGAACGAACGGTACATGGCACTGGCCGTCTTGCACGCCGATGCCTATGACAATGGCAGTCCGAAAGAACGACGAGATGTCATGGATTCCATCATGAAGGAAGTCAAGAAACATGGTCGCTTTTTGAAACTAGATACCCGTTCGGAATCATCCTCCGTTGGTTGGATCCAAGTCTCCGACAAGGAAATGCGCTACAAAATTGCCCAAACCTTTCGCAACCTCAAGTACCGACGGGGTTCTTCCAACACAGCACAATCCCGCGCCATTCTCGAAACACCCGGAGGCGCGGAAGCCATGGAATCCTTGGGTCAGCCGTCATCTGCAGTATCATCTAGTAGAGCCAACCACGGCAGCAGCAACATTCAAATTGTCCATCAATATACACCCCGCGATGTCTTGTTTGGTCGAATGAAGAATCACACTGGCAATCAACGATTGAGAGAACTAGTCCAGAATGTCGCCTCCGAGTACGATGTTGCCAATCGTGGAGAGAAACTTCGATTGGCCAATCAACTCATGGAAAGTGTCAAAAGGGAAGGGGGCCGCTTCTTGAAGCCATTGGATTCGAATGCCAGCCAATGGGAGGTCGTTGCTGACAAGGAGGCAGTCAAAAAGGTGGGCGCTCATTTTCGCAACTTTCGAAGGAAGCAGTGGCGATAGGTAAAACTTGCGCTCACTGCCCTGGTTTCGAATGGAAATCGGATGAATGCTGGAATCTGCCTGTTCGTTCCACAAGAGACAGGTGGAAGAAGCGACGAATCAATCGATGATTTATCATCTAGAGTGCACAACACGACGGTATATCATATAATGTTTTTGAAAGTAATGTAAAAGGAGGCATGTGCCTGTGTTGCTTGTTTGCTTGCTATTCTTTCATTTTTTGTTAGACCATGCACCGCACTAACGATGAAAATAAATGTCATCAATGATAGAGCAAAAGTCCTCATCCGAAAGGGCTCGATTTCGTTGTCTTCGGTAACGACGTGACGTTCGCGAGCCTGATGATTGGTGGTGATGCGTAGTATTGAGCAGTATGGACGGCGTCAAGTCGTCATTGGCGAAGGAGGAGAATAGTAGACTCAAGCTACCTTGTTGTTGTTGTTCTTCTTCTTCTTGCAACAGCAGCAATCTGCTGTTTCTGTGTACACTGCTGCTATTCGAAGAATCATCATCTTCTGCTGCAGCCTCATTATTTTCAAAGGAGGTAATCCTGATCCTGCTAGAGGGACCATTCGTATTGTTAGTAGTAGTTGTTGTTGTGGCAGTAGTAGTGCCAGGATAACAAGTTGGCAATTCGATGGATGGCGGTGAGGACCTTATTGTTCTTTTGGAAACCAACGACACTGCTTCGGGTGGCGTGGTGGAGAGGGTGCAACCTTGTACTAGTGCTGTTGATAATGGAAGAGGAGTCATTGTTGAATTTCTTTTTGTCAATTATTTTATGAGATTGCTTTGATTGAGAATGCATGCATCTTGCCACGATAGAAGAACGGTACGGTTATGCTTGCCAAGATGGAGATTGGCGGTCATATGAAAGGCAAATCTGTCACAGTAATATAGCCCTCATCAAGCTGAAAAAATCCGGTGTATCGAAATAAAGGCCCCTGTCGAAAAAAGGAAATACTGTAACATGTTTTCCGGTATCGATGCTATATACCAGTATCTTGACGATCCATCCCACGCAAAAGGTTTCTCGCATTCTGGCACTACTCTACTATTGTACAGTACGTAGGAGTGAACATCAGTCGCAGAAACTGCAGAGACTGCGGCCAATCTCAATCCGGTGGTATCGGGAAATGAAATGGCGGCGCTTTCGACACATTTTAGAGAGCAAAGAATATGACTGGTGGGTACTAGTACTATCTTGAAATACTACAGTAATACCAGGTATTACAAGATATATCACTCGTCCTACTATCGAGAAGGAAGGTTTCCACCATTTTGAATCCAATACTATGATACCGGTGTTTCGGGGACAAATTTACACTCGCTCACATCTTATATGTTTTTTACACCATCTCTGTATAGGCCACACCAGAAATAATTTAGTATTACCTGATCCCGGTTTTGGAAAGTTTGAAGTTAAGAAAAAAATTGGCGCGATGCTTCACGTGCGCTATTGATCAGAAAGAATCTTTTCCTTCTCTCGGACAGTGCGGGGCCAATGAAAAATACACGACTGTTAAACAGGCAAAAATGCCTCTCGACATTTGCATTTAGTATCAATCATTGTTTATAAGTAGCCGCGGGGGTCATCATGTCTGACTATTTTTTATGTCTATCTGGTGGATGTCGTTGCACGAATGCACGAACCAAGTGGAATTCTCAATTGTCAAAGTTCTGTTACTAACAACAGAACTTTACTCAATTCCCACAACCAAACCTCACAAAATTCCGGAGAACGTTGGGTATCTAGAGAATCACAACATAGGTACCGGTACACACAAAACCATAGAAACAAAGACACACGATAGAAACAAACAAAAACACAAAACAAACAACAAAACTATGAACACTAGCGAATCCTTTGACAACAACTTTACAGCCACTGACGAATCGTGCAATACTTTTACAACAGTAGACGAATCCATAAACTCGATGGAATCCCAAACCGTTGCTTTTGGCAACATTGAAATTCGTGAACACGCCATGATATTGGGCAAGGGACCCAGTGCTTCTGGAACTGGACCTTCCCTCGAAATTGACTGGCAAGCTCAAGCCAATACCGTGATAGCGATAGAAGAATACGAAAGCATGAGGTATGGGAGACGTCACAAGAATGAACTCATCATGCCAAGTGCCTATCGGCGGAATTTGCTATTGGAAACTGGCTACACGATGCGAGAAATCTCGGAAATGGAAAGCAGTAAAAATGGGAAGGGTTCTTTCAAGCAAAAGCTGTCAAAACTATTGCCACACAGCAGCAAAAAGTAGACAGCGAAACAATGGACTCATGCCTGTATATAATAGCTAAGGGCAACTTAGAAAGAAAATAGAAATCCTCAGCATTTTACTCCTACTTTGTAATAATTGCAGAACAATGGTATGCCAACAATAATCCTACTGTAGGACTAGATCACTTCTGAATCACACAAGACAACATTTCATCCCTCTCCAAAATCTCAAATCTGTCTTCTCGAGAGGTCTCATATTTCCGAAAGAGAATTTTTGTTTGTATTTTTGTTCTCATTGGATTTCATTTGCTTTGGAAATGCGAATTTCGGTAAGACTGTTTTGATTGGCGGATCGGATGTTTTTTATAAATATATATATGGTCAAACGAAACTGAAAAGCTTTATCGCACCGGTGAAAGAACTATTTGTATCAACAGGGTGGTCACACATTCATGGTCGTATTACAGTAATAACACTGGTACAGTAGAAATATTTGTAGCGGACCAAGCCCAGACGACACCGATGAACCTTCTTGACAATCGATCTAAAATCTGAATCTGATTTTCTGCAGGTGCCGTCCTCTACATCGGATGCTAGGGTTGAAAGAAGACTCGATCACTCACTAGGTACATGTGCCCACAACAATGCATTTTGAATAAATGAGAGGTGAGGTCAAGAATACCCCCAGGTACTAGGCCCCTAGTAGCACTAGCTATCGCTCACCTCTAGTTGGAATCTTAGCTAGGTTAACTTGGCAATTCGTATTTTTTAAAATGTTTTGTGTTCAGTTCACATACAACTTCAGCTGACATGAGATGGTACCACGATATGCCAATTTGGAGACTATGGTAAAAGTGTACATACAGTGGACAGGCGCATTTTAGCCACGACTCGATTCGAATCGAATGATTCAATTCTAAAAACCATAGTTCACATTTTCGACCTCGACACGAACATGAAGACATCATCATCATGAATACCAGTACGAGTACCTGGCGTCACGCACACACACACTCCACCCAAGACCTCTTGAGATCGCACACAATGTTCTAACCTATTTTTCATAATATTGAAGCTTGATTTGTTCATTCTTTTTGAAGAAAAAAATTGTTTCATATGTCCTCGCCTTCTTCTTGGCCTTCCAAGTATTGTTCTCGTCCCACCACCAGCACCGCCGCCACCACCACCAAGAAGAACTATGGCTCAACTACTCGTACTACTACGAAGGATGTCGCAACAGCAACAGCAACAGCAACAGCAACAGCAACAACAACAACAACAACAACAACTTCGTCCTCAACACAACAAGAACAACATCATCATGAAGAACAACAGCACCATGAACATTCGTCATATTCCTCTTCGTCATCATCACCTGGATCATCTTTGCACAGCAATCCCACCAAAAAATCATCATCGTCTTCTTCATCCATGCACGAAACCATAAAGACTCTGGCGGGCGTCGCTGGTAACGTATTGGAATGGTACGACTTTGCCGTCTTTGGGTATTTTTCTGATATTCTCGGAAAGGTGTTCTTTCCACCCCATCAAGCTGAAAATGTTGCATTGATGGAAGCCTTTGCCGTCTTTGGTGGTGCTTTTGTCATGCGACCGCTCGGCGGTATTTTGATGGGACACTTGGGAGATCTATATGGAAGTAAAACGGCACTACAAGGAAGCATCTTTCTCATGGCGGTTCCGACCTTTGCCATGGGATGTCTTCCGACCTATGCCCAAGTGGGTGCCTGGTCTTATACATTATTGATTCTAGTACGATTGCTACAAGGCTTGTCTGTGGGCGGACAATTGATGAGCTCACTAGTCTTTACGTTGGAAGGAAAACCGAAGAAGCATTGGGGATTGTACGGATCCTACGTCATGGCCACGGCCAATTTTGGTACCCTGTTGGGAGGTTTGGTTGGATACTTGATTCGATCAAACTTGACAGAGGAACAACTGTTGCAATATGGCTGGAGAATTCCATTCTTGTCGGGCATCTTGGTCAGTGTCTGTGGATTGTATTTAAAGTTTTATTGTGACGGGGATGATGAAGATGATGCTACCTTTCATCATCATGCAGCCACCACCAAACGAACAAGTCCACTTCGACTCGCCTTGAGACCCGAGAGTCGGCGACAGCTACTGGCAGCCTGCCTCGTTCCCATGCTATACAGTGGTGGATTTTACTTGTGCTTTGTATGGATGGCCATTTTCATGGCAGATCTCATTCCATCGGATCCTTTTACGACGCAACAAGCCTTTGGGATCAACTCTCTATCGCTATTCGTAAGTGTTTGTCTACTCTTTCCAGTTGCGGGCATTCTGTCGGATTGGTATGGCCGACGAACCATCATGACGATTGGTGGGATCCTATCTGGATTGGGGGCACCCTTTCTCATCATGGGCATTGCACAAGGATACCCAACCATGACATTTGCTTCCCAATCCATATTGGGCGTTAGCCTTTCCTTTTGGGGAGCCCCCATGATGGCGTGGTTGGTGGAAAGTTTTCCGCCGGAAAATAGGTTGACTTCGGCGGCTGTGGGATACAATATTGGACAAGCCTGCGTTGGTGGAGTGACTCCTGCACTTGCAACCTTTTTGGTTGATCGATATGATGATGGTGGTGGGTACTACTTATTTTCTACAGGAGGGGTCACTGGATTTCTAATCACTGCACTTGCGATGATCTCCTTGTTGGGACTCTGGGTCATTTCTCCGCAACCGTCACTAGTGCAATTAATGCCACTATTGTTACCAGTCAAGAATAACGTCGACTGTTTAAAGGAAGAGAACTCTCGACTGTTGCAAAGCATGGAGACTGCCGAGACTTTGGATTCCTGCTCCAGTGCCTGGCCGAACCATTAAACATACGCCCATCGTATATTCGACAAACACTAGAGAGCGTGTAAATAAGTTGTAGAATACCATTGCAGAGATAATGAATGAGTACAATAATCAACGGTGGTATTGAAACTTCAAAGACGTTCGTGGAAACAATCATAATATATATAAAAATATAATTTTTGCGTTTTGCATGGAACAAATTACGTGGAGCCGGTTAGATCTCGGCCGTTCAGAATTCCTCTCGAATCCATCCCGCATGGGGCGCCGACAGAGAGAATGAATGCATCATACCGGTAGAGCCCGCCCGCTCCTGAAGTTTCATCCTATAGGATATATCCATTTTTTCGCGAACTTTTTTTCTTCGATATATGTATCTGTACGAATAAGGAGCTCCATTTTTTTCATCGCTTACACTGACGCAGGATAAAGTTGCGCCATGATCTTCACTGGTAAGCATCATAAAAAGAATAGCAAGATCAGCTCTTCACAAGATCTTGGAGATGACGGTCTGCACTCGCTTCTGCCAAGCCCATTGCCACCTTCCTTCGAAATGACAGTTTCGTCGTCTCGTTCCTACGTCGTTTCTTCTCCCTCAGATATTTCCTTCGAGGACCCCTTTGATGATCCAAGCATGGAGCCTATCCCTCTGCCATTTCCTCAATCGGTGCAAGCAAGGACGGCACACGATGCTTCAAATTTGCTGCCGGTGCCAGATGATGCCAGCCGTTCATCCTCCTTCATGCAACTGCAGTACAAGCCATTGGATACCAAACTTCCTCAAGAATCCGGCAGTGGTCACACTGTTGGATCCAACATTAGCACCAACGAGCCCGTCTTTGGCGACGACCAACCGCCCATGCTCAAAAAGAGTCAAGGAACCATTCCTATGCAAACAAATCAGTCCTTATTTATGATTCCCTTTGGCGATCGTAACGCGGAGCCTTTGCCCGTCGGATCACAAGGTCAAGTGCCGCAACCACTGGTTCATCCAACTAGTGTCGATTCCGCCTTCCTGAACGAATACTCAAGCAAGAAGGGGCCTACAGGGATACGTCACGCTGTTGGTTGCAAACGAAGCACCACCGAGGCCTTATTCGCTGATGACCAAGTGAGTGCCAACAAGCGCCAACGATCAGCATTAGGGCCCCCTTGTGAGCCTACTGCAGGACCCAAATCGGTACCAACGTCTGAACTAACAAGTGGACCTACCAGTGGACCAACATTTGGAGCTACTTTGAGTCCAAAGAGTAGTCCTACGTCCGGGCCAACCTTGGATCCAGCTACTGGCCCAAGGTATGGACCAACGGTCCTCGTTGAAGCTGCGACTTCTGACGAAGAAGCCAAAACTCGTTTTCGCCCTTACCAAGAGAAGAATTGGAGAGAGCAGTTCCAAAAGCTCATCCAATACAAGCAGAACAATGGACACTGCTGCGTTCCTCTCACTTACACAGAAGATGCTATTCTTGGCAGATGGGTCAAGAGACAAAGACATCAATACAAGAAGTTCAATGACAGTGATCCCACATCTACCATGACTACTCGGCGTATTAAAGATCTCAAATCCATCGGCTTTGTATGGGCTCCACACCAATCAACGTGGCTAGAGAAACTCAATGAGCTCAAGGCATTCAGAAAAAGAACAGGTCACTGCAACGTCCCGGCTCGCTATCCAGAGAATACTACACTTGCCACTTGGGTAAAATGCCAACGTCGGCAACACAAGCTTTTCGTCTCCGGCGATTCTTCGTCGACTATGACAATTGAACGTTTTCAAAAGTTGCATTCCCTGGATTTTGTATTCGATACCTCAAGAAAGAAGTCATTAGTGAGGTGAAATTTATGTGGTGGGTTTTGCCAACATGCTATGAAACGAATACTAGACAATCATGGATTCATGAAATCTCACTTAAAAATCGAGGCTATTTATTCATTCGACTCTATTTTTTTGGTGACATTTGCTGCTGTATGGATATTGTACTAGCCACACGTTGTCATCAAACGCTTGTGCGTTTGGAAGAAGGTGCCATTGCGGTATCCAACAATTTCCTATTTGCGTTGTTGTCCGACACGTTTTCGGCACGGCAAAATCCGAAATCACGTTTTCGATCTTACATGTGGTGGAATTCCTATCCTATATACTTCTGCGCTTTCGTCGATCGATAGATTATGCTGTAGGTATACCAGTACTACGATACGTGTACTTGTCCACATGCTGGAGGAGGCACGTGGAAACATGCTAGCAGGGTCGTCAAGAGCTCAGCGACTCAAGGAAGAGAACACACGAGCTACTTATTGACCGCAGGAGGAGCCAAGGATTCTAATCACAGCTCTTGCAATGATTTTCATATATTTGGACTGTTGGTCATTTCTGCGGCAATGCAATTAATGCGATGATCACTACCAGTCAAGAGTAACGTTGATAGGGTAGTATTGAAGGAAGATCATTCTCGACGACTTTTGCAACACATATTGAACTGCCCCAGACCTTCGACTCCTCCTCCTGAAGTTTCTTATTGGGACTAAGGGTCATTTCTCCGACAACGCAATTTAAAAAAGGCATGATCACTACCTGTCAAGAGAAACGATGATGGTACCGGTACTGTAGTAGTATGAAGGAAGATAATTCTCGACAACTGTTGCAACGTATGGAACTGTCACTCCTCCTCAAGTGACTTGTCGACACTGTTTAAAAACAGACAGTTTCAATATTCGACAAACTCTTGGTACCGGTGGCGCGTGTAGCTATTGAAACTCATCAGCGAAATTATATAAATACATATGTCATACATTACATAAGAACAAATGTTTTAGGGCGGTCGCGCATATGGAACGTATGTAGGACGACAATAATATAAAATAGTTGACGCATGTGGAGTGAGTCATAGTTGAAGTCGCTGCGAATTACGTGCCACCGTACTCAAAACAGCTGATAAGAATTCCAGGCAAAAAGTGCATATTTGAATATGCATACTGTAGGGCGCTCCTCCAGTTCCATCTCTTGTTCATTTTTACCCATATTTTTTTCACCCATACTGTACGATAGTGCCGCTCTTTCGTTGCTCGCATTGGCAGGACAGAGTTGAGTGATGATCTTCACTTCGGACACCGACAAGATGCTTCACAAGGATAGCAAGAAGATTGATGGGAAGAATAGCTACTCAGATCTTGGAGATGAGAGCCTTCTTTCGCTCATTCTGCCAAGCCCTTTACCGCCCTCTTTCGAAGTCTCGTTTTCTCGTTCCTCTGTCGTTCCTTCTCCCTCAGATATTTCCTTTGAGGACCCCTTTGATGATCCAAGAATGGAGCCTATCCCTCTGCCATTTCCTCAATCGGTACACGCAAAGATGACATGCGATGCTTCAAATTTGCTGCTCGTGTCAGATGATGCCAGCCTTTTATCTTCCTTCATTCAACTGCGGTACAAGCCATTGGATACCAAGAAACTTCGTCAAGAATCCGGCAGTCACACTGTTGGATCCAACATTAGCACCAACGAGCCCGTCTTTGGCGACGACCAAACGTGCCTCAACAAAAGTCAACGAGCGGTTCCTATGCAAGCCAATCCAGACGAAGACGGCATGGTTTGTTCTTCGTTGCTCAAGATTCCGTTTTGTGATCCTAACGCGGAGCTTTTGCCCGTCGAATCGCAAGGCCAAGTGCCACGACCACTGGTTCCTGCGACTTGTGGTCGATCTAGATGTGCCAATGCGGTCGTGAGCAAGGAGCCAACAGGGACCCCTACTAATCATAAACAAGGCCCGATCTATTGCACTGTTGGATCCAAAAGAAGCATGGATAAAAACATCGTCGCTGATGACCAAGTGCGTGTCAACAAGCGCCAACGACCAACACGTGCACCTACTTCCGGGCCTACTTCAGGACCCACATCTGGACGAACCAGTGGATGTATTGAACCAGCATTTGGAGCTACATCGAGTCTAAAAGGTGGTCCTACGAGTCCCGCCACTAGCCCATTATTTAGGCCAACCTCGTATCCAACCACTAGCCCAACATCAGCACCAGCTTCTGGTCCTACATCATCAGATCAAACCAGTGCCCCAACATCAAGAGCAGCTGACAAAGAAGGACGCATACCTCAATTCAACCCTTACCAAGAGAAGAATTGGAGAGAGCAGTTCCAAAAGCTCATCCAATACAAGCTTAAGAATGGACACTGCTGTGTTCCTCAAACGTACCCAGAAGACCCTGTGCTCGCTAGATGGGCCAAGAGACAAAGACATCACTACAAGAAATTCAATGACAATCTTCCCGCATCCGCCATGTCCACTCGCCGTATTGAAGATCTCGAATCCATCGGGTTTGTATGGGCTCCACACCAAGCAGCGTGGCTAGAGAAACTCAATGAGCTCAAGGCATTCAAACAAAGAACAGGTCACTGCAACGTCCCAGCTCGCTATCCAGAGAATACTACACTGGCCACTTGGGTAAAATCTCAACGTCGGCAACACAGGCTTTTCGTCTCTGGTGGCGATTCGTCGTCGACTATGACAATTGAACGTGTTCAAAAGTTGGATTCCATTGGTTTTGTGTTCGATACCTCAAGGACGAACTCATCAGGAGTGCGGTGAAAGTGACTTGGGGTTTGTACAAAATACTGTGTTATGAATACTAGGCAACATTCCATCCTTTTTTGTTTGCCTGAAGAGGCTATTGTGGCATTTTAGCTGTTATAAAAACGTTACAATGCGAGCTACACGTGTAACTTGTTGGCACCCTCAAGTGGTAAATGCTTCGGATTCTATATAAACCATACTAGTGCCCTTTTTCCTTTCTAACATTGCAGAAAAATGAGAAGTTCCACCAAATAGCAGTTCTAGGTTATGTCATCCAATCCATGCTGGCATCCTTGCGTTCTTCTTCCCACCAAGTGGTGGTCTTGTAACCCGTTCGCAAAAAGTTGAGGGCAGATCCTTCATCGGCAGGCAAGATGCCATCATCTCGCAATGCTTGGGTGAGTTGTTCCTTAAATGCTCCCAAGCCCGGACGAATATCCGATCCAAGCAATCTTCGGTAGGACCCAGTTCCAGTATCCAATAGAGTTTGGAATTGACCTGGGTAGGCACGGAACAAACATCCCTGATAATTGACCAAAAATGGTGGTTTGGTAGTGGAACGAGAGTATTGTCGTGTTCTCAAATAATAGACAGGCTTGACCTTGGACAAGAAACGGTCTTGGAATTCCTTGGGTGGAAAGGCAGGAGCCCCCAGATCGCCTCTGAGTACGTCCAATTTCAAATTGTACATGATGATTGGGATTTTATCATCCTTGACTTGTTCGTGGAGTTCTTCAATATCGGGCAACTCTTGGGCACTGGCCACCAAGACAATGTAAACGTCAGTTCCATTGAGGGGTTTGACATCGCCACTCTTTCCACCGCCACCAAACAAGTTGAGGAAGGTTTGTTCGGGCTTCATGTGGAGTTGAATGACAGCAAAAGGGTGTTAGAATTGTAATTGATTGGTATCTTGGTTGAATCAGCAATGCAACGAGCAGGATCTCCTCTTGGCACAAACCAAATGTACCCGACATGCCATTTCACTGGGAATTATTGATTGATTCATCAATTGATTCTTGTTCTTACCTTGAAGTTGCGATCGTCGCCCTCTTCACTGCGTCTCAAACTACTAATGCAGATTCCTGGCTCAATGTCCGTAACGACACCAACATCTTCTTGCCCAGTCAATGATTCGACACCAATCTTGGCTTCACTTTCATCCGGAAAGAGGATGGTGATCTTTTGCTCTTTTTCTGATGTCTTTGTGAATCCACGAGCAAGATCCAAGGCCAGCTTCAAGTTGGCTTGGGCCACATCGTATGCACTGACATCATCCAAATCCAAGACATTGGCTGGCAAAGGTGGGAACTCAATCTCCAATAAATCAAAGCCATCACGAATGGCCAATTGGGCAGACCTTAAGCAATCGGATTGCAATTCAAAGAAACTGGCTGGTGCATTTTGTCTGTCCGCATATGCCTTGAATCCTTCAATGTCATCCACAGATGGAGGAGGGATATTGAATAGGGCTGTCTTGGAAGAGAGTTGTTGGGTGGACGATGGACTGAACGCACTGCAACCACGAGCTGTCGTGAGAAGCAAGCCTCCCGTTGATATCAGTGTTATGGTGAATTTCATTTTGCTCAAAATTTCATGCGGGGAGGATACTCTCAACTTTCAAACTTTCTCTTCGTTTCGTCTTATTTTGCTGATCAACGCCAGCGAAGTCTTTAGGGAATGAATATGAATGAATCAGCGGAGATGCCTGATGAATGAATTTGCATCTCTGGTAAATCAACCACCTTCAATGAATGACGTGGGGTTTTTGGTGGTCATCTTTTGCTTATTGGGGGAGCATAATCCCCCTTATGATACTTCTGTCCGTCGTCGCACCTTCTTACCAACCCTCCAATTCTTCATCCATCAAATAAATCAAATCCACCAAAAAATCCAAAAATCAGAAATTTGCTTTCCATCTATTGCACAACTTGCACTTTCACGTTGGCTGGACAACCGCTATTCCCCTTTGAGCCTGTATTTGAATAGACGCACACGCATAGATCACAATGGCAGGAACACCACGAACGCAAAAGTCGCCTGGTGGCTCTGCAACCAAAGCAAAAATGAAAACGAGATCATCACCTAGAAAACCTTCCAAAGAAGCAACAAGTAAGATCAATGAGGACGAGATCAATGAGGACGAGATCAATGTTTCGTCTACAACAGCCACCGCGTCTTCACCGCCGCGTAAAAGACGAAACTCGGAGAGCAAGTATGAAACCCCTGATGATTCCAAGATAAAAAAGAGATCTGTCAAGTCTACAACTGCCAAAACCAAACAATCTAAGGTTTTGTTGGATAAGACTACCAAAGACAATGCTGCTGAAGTGACAACGTCGACTGGCAAAAAGAGAGGCCGATCCAAGTCTCCAACTGCATCCAAAGGCAAGAAGGACAATGCCAATGCTGACACGACGATGACCTCAAAGAAAACCTCATCCTCTCATTCCAACAATATCAAAAAGTCCAAGGCTGTTTCTACCACAATGGACGTAAAGGTTCACCGATTGCGACATTTGGAATACATCCCATCTCACATTTTGGCCATGACCGGTAGCAGCAGCGGTGGTGGATATGTCGCTATCGCACGAGAAGATGGTTCCTATCAACTATCCATTGTCTCATCAGTCCAAGAAGACGACTCTCTCATGGAAGACAAGAAGAACAAGTCCCTCTGCCTTAACCCTCACATTTATCCAGTCACAAGAGTGGCTGGATCCTCTCTTGCAGTGGCACATTCCCTTTGCTGGGTCCAGCCAAGATCCTCCAGTAATGATAAAAATGAGGATGTCCTGAATCTGAAAAAGAAACCAAAGAACGATCTTCCGACTTGTGTCGCAGCCAGTCCCGATGGAACCTTGTGGATTGTCAATTTTCAACAATCACAGTTACAATCACGTTTCAGCAGTGGAGGAGGTGGTATCTTTGACTTATGTACTTGTCACGATCTTCCATTGGTCGCCACAGCGTGCGAAGATGGATCTGTCCGAATCTGGCAAATTCGCTCCAACAAAATTTTGGATACCCCAATTGCCACCTTGACGACTGCCGGATCTGCTGTGTTATCGCTGGCATGGAGACTGGTCAAGCTTCAGAATGGACTGTACGAAACAGTTCTCTTTGCGGGAGTTGCGGATGGAACCATTCGCAAGTACAAGGTGAACCTATCTTGGAAGGGTGGCAAAGACGATGAAGATGAATTGGTCCTATTGAAACATCAATCTCATTCCTTGCGAATGACTTTAGAATCCAAGGGTCGTCGGCAATCGACTAAGGTATGGACAATGAAGGCCCTTCAAGATGGTACGCTGATTACGGGAAACTCGTTGGGCCAAGTTCAATTTTGGAATTCGGACAATGGAACCTTGATCCAATCCATCTTGCAATCTGACCTGAAGGCTGATATTCTTCAGCTAGCAGTCAACAAGGAAGAGACCAAGGTCTTTTGTACTGGTGTCGACTCGAGAGTGGTATGCTGCGAACGAGCGAGCTACAAAAAGGGTGGCAGTAGTCACATGCCAAGTTCCATGGATGTCTCACCTTGGGTCCTCACTGGAGCCCAGCGTCCACATACTCACGATATCAAAGCCATGGTTTTGTTAACTAGTGACGATGGACGTTTGGAAACCATGATTACTGGTGGTGTCGATACCAAGTTGTGTTCTTATGTTGCTTCGGACTTTTCGAAACGGCGGCCACAAGTATGGTATCCATGGCCAAGTCATTCTCCCATTTCTACAGCACCTTCCCAACGGATATTCTCCATGCAACGCCAAGATCACGTGGAAATTTACCGCCTGGAACAGGAACCATTGCAGAATGGAAAGTCTCCTAATCCCTACAAGAAGATGCGCAAGTCTGCCAGCGACCTTGTTGGATCCGTTCAGATTGAAAGCAATACCAATCTGATCACTTCAAAGCTCAGTCCCAATGGCAAATGGTTGGTCTTGTGCGATGCCTCCTCCACATTTATCTTCAAGTTGAATTTGGAGGCTTATGGGAAGGATGACGAATTCATGTTTCAACCAGAGCAGATGGAGCTGCCTGATGCACTAAAGCAAAATGCTGCAACTGCGTTCCATTTCAGTGGAAATGTATTGTTCTTGGCCACAGCATCGACCAACACACTTTTCGCCATTGACTTGACAACCATGGAGTACACAAACATCGCCACTTTGCCGATTGGTGATGGTTCTCTTCCAATTCATTCCATACAGACTACTGAAGACTTTGTCGTGACATTGAGTCATGCACGAGGATCGGGAGTCCAAATCTTTCGTCGAGATCCGTCATCGCCTCTTTCCTTCGGATCACACTGGACCATCCCTTCACTGCAAGAAGCGCGAGTTGCTGCCACTTGCCTCATCGAAGGTGGCCAACTGGCAGTAGCAACATTTGCTTCTCGTCTATTCATCTTTGACCTACCAGCTAAACGGCTGTCCAAATGGAGCAAGCAGATAGGATATCCAATCAAAAGTTGGCCAGCGGAACTGAGCGCCAGAAGAGACTTTCCAGTTCGATTGATTTCCAATCCTTCCAAGCCATCTCAACTGATATTGGTGAGTACATTATGCACCGCAAAGGCACGCAAGAAAAGTTATTTCCGGCCTGGGTATTCACGGTACCGTGTCGGCTTGTCATCCTTGCAATATTGAAACTCTGCCCCCCTTCGCCCTTCCTGGTGACAATGTCTCCGACTGGGACGGTATAGTGGGGGGCAACAATTCAAATCTTTGATTCTCGTTGTTTGCCTTGACTTGAATCTGATTCTTTTTGTTTGGTCTCTCGAACACAGGCTTCTTTTGGTGCTTTCTGCGTCATTAACTTATCTAAAGCATTGCCAGAACACTGCCAGATGGTTCCTGAATCCCATGTCCGCCGAAGGAAAAACTTGATGTATCGCAATGGTGCTGGCCACCGAGCCAACAAGCTACAAAAGCTCAGCAAGGAAGACCCTAATGCCAACAACTGTATCGTGTGCTTGCATTACAATTCGATGCTGTACATGGACTTTTTGGGTCCAAACGAAATGATGGTGGTCGAGCAACCATGGCTGCAAGTGGTGGCAACCTTCCCAGAAGCCGTTCAACGCCGCGTGTATGGTGTCCACTAGAAAGCTGCTGCGCAAGAAGAGGTACAACAAGGTATGTCCGCTCTAGCAACGCATGACGAACGCAAGACGCAGCGACTCTTGGACCTATCACTGTCCTTGAATGTCTCCTTTTTAATCCTTGCCATAGTGAAGTCATTGCTCATCTTTGAGCTGATCTGGTATACTTCCCGTTGCCAGACCGGTCGAGTATGAGAATACATTCTGTTATGCTAACGATTTCTGCTTTCCTTCGAAATGGACAAACTAATAGCATGTCACATTATGGATCCAATGAGAAAAAGAGAAAGGGGCTGGAATCCCACAACATGAAGGTATGTTCATGCTAGCATGATGCACGCAAGACGCAGCGACTCTTGGACCTATCACTGTCCTTGATGTCTCCTTTTAAAATCCTTGCCATATTGAAATCATTGCTCATTTTAGAGCTGATTTGGCATACTTTCTGTTGCCGAATCGGTCAAAATGAGAATACATTCTTTGATGCTCACGATTTCTGTTTCTCTGTAACGGCCGAACTATTAGGATCACATAGTCTATGCGCTAAAGAAGAAGAAGAAGAAGAACATGTGGCTCACAATCGAGCCATGTTGTTCGAATTATCATCTAACAAGAAGGTATGTCGATATGTTAGCTGATGATGCACGCAAGACGCAGCGACTCTTGGACCTATCACCATGTCCTTGACGTCTCCTTTTTACCCTTGCAATAATGAAATCATGTCTCGTGTTTGAGCTGATCTGGTATACTTCCCGTTGCCGGACCGGTATAGAATGAGAATACATGCATATACTTTTCTGCTCACGATGCCTTTTTCCTTTTGGAACTGGACAAATCAACATCAATGTATAATAATATTTCTAGCATCACTCTTGGACTTTGAATTCTATTATTATGAATCATTGGTATCTTATCTAGACCAGATGCCCCGGCATTCCCTACTATTTGTTGTGTATGCTCTCGACTTGATTGGGTTTACTGCGATTGCTTGATTCAGGATTCATTCACCGCCTTCGTCTTAGATTCAGTTTACCATATGCTTCTTGCGCATCAGCAATTGCTAGATTCAGAATTCCTTGGACTTCCTCAGCATTTAAGTCTTCTCGTTCAATTTCATCTCCCAATGTAAAGTCAATCAAATCCTTCAGCTGTTCCTCTTGTTCCGGCGTTAGTTGCTTTGCTTCCATGTCACTATGACTCCGCTCCTTCACTGCTTTTTGCTTTGTACTTTCAGTTATTAGGACTTCTTCCAATTCCGTTGCCAATGCTGACGCGGATGGCAAAGACGACATGACGGAAGGCGCCAAATTCATCCAGTCTTCCCAATTCAATGGCTTCGAATTGTTACTGTTATTGCCCTTGAAAAAGAGTCCAGAATCCCAAATAAGGCGACAAAGGACCAACCAGACGCACAGTAAGAAGATGTAGGTTAAGCGGGTTACAGTGCCTTCCATGTTTTTGCCTTATTCCTCACAAAATAAAGAGCTCCTCCGGTTGCCCAAAGTATAAGGACAGTCACTTGATTGCTTATATTTTTAATGTTTTGCATGAACAATGCGAGCGATGCGGTCGGATGAGTCACAAACGGACGTAATATTGTGGATGGACGCATTTCCGACATGCATACCTATAATACGGTACCGCGGTATATTACATATTCTTAAGGCTTTGGTGCCTGTACATAAACAAGTAACAGACATCATACAAGGTTGACATTGAAAGTTTATCGATTATTAGCTCCAAAACAGGGTATGTATATATCATGATTTGGAATTCCTCAAAATTGAATAAATTCTGAGACGATGGAAAGAGAAATGGCGGCGGGGCCGCAATAAATTCTCCGAGAGACCTCTTGCTTCAAATACAACAAGAAGCCTTACTCGACAGTCGTTCGCCTGACAACCCCAAACCTACTTTTAAGCCTCCTCAAAAATCCAGCTGTGCTCTTCGCGGGCCTTGGCCTCCTCCTCTGCCTGGGGTCAATTCTGGAAGGTGCAAATGCTTTCGGATCTACGTCCAACAAGACATCGAGCATTAACAATCTTTTTGAAACACGGGGATGGTAAAATCAACAAAAGGAGAAAATCGAACTGACCTCTTCCGCATTCTTTCCAGTGATCTGGAAGGTAACCTTGAGACAAGTCAATTCGAGCAAAGGCTTGATACCAAGGAAATTGGCGGCACTTAGCATGCTAAAAAGCATATCACGGTTCACTTTTTCGTCGGAGACAAAGTCTTGGTACCAAGGCTGATCCATCACCTGTTCCATGCAATAGGCGGAAGGAGTTCAGTTGCGATGGCACATGGTACAAAAACCCAGACGCGTGAGGAAAAAGGCATGGCAAAACCGTCCGAACTCACCTCGTTGAAAGTAGAAGCACCCAATGGAGTCGGGATTTCCTTCATCTTTTCCTTGTCGTAATGCTTCATGAACTCAACAACTTTCTCCAAGCATGGTGAAGCGACTCTCACAATATCGATTTCGGTGACTTGGTCGTCCTCTTCACGAGGACTGTCCTTGAGCAACTCGGAGATCTCAGCAGCACTCTCAGTGAGCTCAAAAACCTTGTCATCGCAACTGCGGAGGCGAATGATTCCGTTTCCTTCGTCTTGCATTGAGTCTGTAATTGGTACAAAACTGTTGGAATTCAGAAAATTATGAAGGAATGAAGGAATCGCAAAGCGTTGACAAATCCAAACCCACGAAAGAAGCGAAAACAATAACCGCGCGGCGCTATTATATTCAATATTTTTAGTACGCGTGTTCAATTCGCTCGTAAAAATATTTTCCCCAAACCACGACTGGATGTGGGAAGCGTTTTACAGACTTCATCTCTGTACTCATATATCAAGAGTATAGCTCATATCGTACTCACCCCAAATTTCATCCACCTTCGAATGCTATATTCTAAACGTCTGTATCACAAATTTCCTTTGGTTTCCACCCAATTTTGTTGCGTTTGCGTTATCATTATTATTATCATTAGTTCCTGCATCCGACCATTCTACTACTACCAATGGATTTATCAACCTTCTGTTGCTACGAAATGATGGTCAAGAAGGAAGGCCAATTTGGTTCCTCCTAGAGTCATATCGTGGTGACTCTCCGATTTCCCCCAAGAGCGGCACGCACCAGCACACGGTACGGACTATTTTGATAGTATACTCTCGACTACGATTCACGACCTCGCGCAATAGGCATGTTGCGTCTATCTCCAATGTTTGCGTCTAAGGTTGCGGAAATGGGAGCCAACCTTTCTCGCGGCATCCATATCGGATACAACTTCCCACCGACCATCCTCCAATGGTTTCAAGAATCGTCCACCACTTTTTTTTATCCGTACAATGATATCGTTCACAAACACTAGCTTCTCGCCCCGATGGCCGGCATCGTATTCCGAAGCCGAATTTTGGACCATGTCTCGTAGTCTTTCATTACCCGCATGATCCTTCATTTTGCCAAACAGAACATCGTGTGGGGTGAATGAATCCACAATTGTCGTGGCCGTGGCTGCTTGAGCTGTTGTTGTTCCATTCTCAGGAGCACTGGCCGAGGATGACGATTCTCCGGATGGGACACTACCATTACCCAATTTGAGTTGCAAGCTACCTCGACGATTGTATCTTAGATTTCGAAAAGTCTGGCATATCTTCTGTCGCATTTCCTTGTCGGGAACCTGTACCCAACCTTTGCCTTGTTCTTTCGAAGAGGACGTATCCAACTTTAAGAACCGTCCACCAGCAGCACGAATTTCTTGCATTATATCATCGACAAGGACTCTTCGCTTCTTGAGATTCCCATTGTCATATGCCTCCAAATGGAAAGCGGCCAATGATATTAATCGTTGATTCCCCTTTCCATTCACCCTTCGACCTACACACAAGACATCGTTATCCGTTGGAGTCTCGCCTTGCCAAAGTCCCGAAAGAAACTTGACATGATTGTTGTTGCTGTTGTTGTTGTTGTTGGTTTCCTTATTCGTAGTAGTAGTTGTAGTAGTTGTAGTAGTAGCATGCTTCAGTTGTTCTTTTTGTTGACACTGCTGAAACCAAAACTGATGATGTGTGAGATCCATTTCGTAGGTGTCCCTAGAAAAGGAGAATGCTTCTCGTGGAATACCATAGCTGGACAACAGGTACAGACACTCTTGATGGCTCCCGAAATGAATTCTTGTTTTGGCGCGTACGCTTGGAGGAGCCAAGGACATGGCATATTTGGCGACAATGGCGTTTGCCGGCTTGTCGAAACAGAAATGATAACCACCAAGATTGGTGGGCAAAGCTAGCGAGAGCTATGGGAAATATTACAATGGAGGTAAGGAGCGTCAATCTAGTATATTGCAAACATCCGTAAAGAAACAGATCGCAATGCTGGTCTTACCTTCATACCCTCTCGAAAGCCAGCTCCATTTGTTTTGTCTTCAAATTTCCCTACAGCATAGGATACAATGATGCACCCTTTCCTTGTATCTTCAATCGAGGTACAGATGTCCATCCCCAAGTAGAAGAGAGCCCGTTGTTCGTGAAAGATATCGACATCCGTTCGTAGACCAGGGAATCCCAGCACGATCAAACGCCCAGATCGATCAGTAGCATTCGAAATCTGAACTCTTCCATTCATCAGAGCGTCCATATCCTGTTCAGTCAAGTCTTGTGAGGTGATATCTCGAGTGAGGGATGCTTCACCAAATAGTTCTTGCTTCAAGTCAAAGAACCGGATTATTTGCTCCGCTGATGCCTTTGGATCGTATCGATTGCACCTCAGAAAGATCAAGCGAAAGTCTCGGTTGGAAACATATGAAGGGTCCCTGGCTTCTGCAGATGCATATACGGACCCCTCCTTTATTCGGTCCAAGTGAGTTTGAATTGAGAGGAGAAGTTCTTCCGTCTTATAAGCATCATTTTCCACTATACTGGTCTCCGTCACACCGTGCAAATCTTCCTGTTCCAGTTGAAGCTCATCAAATGTCAAATCCTTCATTCCTTGTGCGAGGATGGCCTCCACATCATCACTGGTGTCGTCGCTTCTATTGTTGGTGGTGCCGCGATCATCTTTATACCGTCGTGTTGCTGGTTGAAACTTTGGGCGACAAAATGAAAGCTCTCCTCCACCACCAGGGGTCTCGACATGGGTACTCATTATTGCTGCAGTTGCGATTGTGCTACTTTCAATGATATACTGTTATAATAATAATGTACTATAATATTATTGTTTTTGGGTAAATACTGATTTCACATATATTGAACATGTATGCAGTTCGGTTTGATGGGTGTCAACTGTCATTTGGAAAAGCGGATCATGTCAGCAGGATAAACACTTATTGGATTATTGATGACCGAAGACGTGGGCTGACTTGGAATATTAGGAAATGGCACTTGTCACTCTAAAGCCATCGTCTTGCATTCAACCTTTCATCCTCTTTGATTGGTAGGAAAGTCTCATTTTGAGCCACCGTATAATAATTGAGTCCCCGCACAGCACGTGCCAGTGGACGAATCGTGCTTACTACAGAGTGATCACGTGTGGACCAAACTTCCCACAGTACAGTACCGGTACGCTTGCACATACCGGTAACTATGTGTTTCTCTTTTTGGGATTTTCAGGTCAGAGTAATAGAACCAAAGAAGAAAGCAAGCCTTCCATTTCAGGAGCAGTGAAACAGCGCCTAATATTAAAGACAGAAGCTACTGTACGGTCTGCAGTATAATACATTGTGGCCATTGTCTTTCCTCCATCCACGATTTCAGATTCCTCTTTTTGTCAACGTATTGTTTGGAATATTTTGGATTTCATGAAGCTTCCATTTCCTGTAGAAAGCAGAATCATAGCAATCAAAGCAATCAAAGCAATCATAGCAGCAGATTGAGTCCTCCATTCCATCCTGTGTAGAATTAGTGTTCGGTGTTCAGAATGTCATCAACGTCCATATTGCTACCATCTTCGGCGTCACCTGATAATGCCATGCACCACATGGGCTCGTACACAGCCTGTGGTGGTAGTAGTGACAATGAACAGGATTATCCTACTATCCTCCACAGAAGCGTTTCCTGCTATAATGCACCGCAATCGGAAGGCGAAGGCGAAGCGTCTATTGTTGATGGAACAGAAGAAATGAAACTTCCTCTGCACACCGAGTCAGAATCTAGCAGTCCACCGCAACCCTCAACAAAGCCGAATACTATGGCTCAGGAGAAGCACGTCCTAGATGACAAGCATGAGGACCGCCTGATTGAACAGCTGCGACATCAGGTCCAACAAATGGAGACGCAACAACGAGAGATGATGGAACGATACCAGGGATTGGTACCGCAGCAAGTACAAACGCAAGTACAAACGGAGGAATCAAGTGATGGGATCAAAATAATAACAGAAGAGAAGGAGACAGCAAACGAATCCTCTACTCTGAAACAACTTATGCGAGAGAAGGAGGACATGGAATCACAACTGCATCAAGTTTTGGAAACTGCCGACACCATGCGCACCGAATTGACAAAGTACCGTCGGTCCATAACCGAGGATCAACTAATTTTGGATGATCTAAAGGGAGAACGCAATCAACTCCGACAAGAAGTGGCACAATTGAAACGCAAGAGTCAGGCGTCCTCATCTTTGAATGCTTCTACATTGGGTGTTTTTGTTCAACAATCCTCTCTAATATCGGATGATGGGTCATCTATTGACACCATCAACGAACAAGTCACAATGCGACCAGAGAGTCGTCGATCATCCCTTGCACTGAATGATACATTGATTATTATAGAACAACTAAAGGAAGAGCGAGATCACCTCCAATCGCAGTTGTACCAAGCCCATTTCCAAATCAAAAAAGTAAAGGCCGACCACCAAAAGTCCTCTGCAGAAGACAAACTGATCATACAGGAACTTAAGGAAGAGCGCAACGAATTGAGAGAAAAGCTATTTTCCAGACGACGAACGAGCCTGAGCAGTAATAGTGATGCCACCATGGACGAATCTCTGTCTAGACAACGTCCGTCAGCAGTGGACAACGATGATGCTCACGACGACGACGAGGATGAGGCGAAAGAGGAAGCCAAATATGGCAATTCACAACTCCAGACCCGACCTCAAGAACAACCCAAACAAGCATTGGCCGAGGAACGTGACGCGCTTGTCATCAAATTGCAAGAATCAGGAGAACTGATTGATGAGACGACCACGGTTGGAAACAGCAGCAGTAGCATATCCTTTGCTACCTTGCCCAATTTGGAAAACAGCTTCCAACAGCATGAGGTTACTGGTAATGGAGGGGTAAAGCAACAACTGTTTCCAGCACAAACTACCACCACTCCGACCAAACAATATGTTGTGACGAACCTTCCATCTTCGTCTACTGCCGCTAGTTCGTTACGACAACGACGACGATCTTCTGTCAATTCAACATCATCACTTTCTCGTGTGTCCGTCACAACAAGCTCCAAACTGGAAGAATTGCGAGCCCACAAACACTCGGCGGAATCCCACTTGCGACAAATGGTTACAATGTCCAACAACTTGCGACAGGAATTGGCTACAAACCACAAAATCATTCAAGAACAAAAGGTACTACTAAATCAATCTCAAACGAAACAAAAGAGTTATGAGCGTATCATTGCCGAACAAACGATTCAATTGCGGTTGTTGGCCAACAAGATGAAACGTGGGATTGGGCAAAAGATGAGGAGCAGACCCAATAATTATTGGATGACTACGATTCGGAATCATGCTGCCAGTACCAGTCCGAATAGAGCCGAACGATTGGATCGATGGAAGGGACGATTTCAACTGGACATTGAGGAAAAATTTGACGCCTTGTTGGAGCAATATTCTCGGCAATTGGAGTATGTGGACCAACAGTACGATGTGAGAACCTATCAGCCAGCTAGTAGGCGGCACTTGCTGGGAAGCAGTAGTGGGCTATTGTTATTTTGGGCCAAGGTGCTCTTCATCTTTTTGCTTTGGAAATTCCACTATTAAAATGATGGATGTTGCAAATTATAATGAACTTTGCTATGGTAGAAGTTTACAGGACCACGCTGGTGCTTGTATTTCGACGACATGCTATGGTTGTATCATGACTGTACGGCAGCGATGAGAGATACCGGTAGACATATTATAAAATACTAGGTATTAATACTACTGCATTTATTTTATATAAAATGACTTTGCAGTATTCGATGACTGAGACCGGTAGTGAAGTACAATACGATAGCTTGTGACTTGTGACATTCTTTTTTTAAAATACAGTAGCTACCGTGCACCATTCTTTTCACTTTCAACATTACGCGGTACCATTTCACTGTCAACGGTTTCGTGTTCACCCGGTAGGTACCCGGTACCATTTCACTGTCAACAGACCAAAGGAATACCTTTTTTTTGTACCCGGTCAACCCGTAAAATTTTCGCGTTGTACTCGGACTTTTGAATCAAGTCCAAAGGGTCGAGAGTCATTGGTTTATTGTCCGGGTAGCCGGCTGACTTGGCGGAGATTCAAACCAACGTCTTTTTGCTAGATCGTTGTTGTACGAAACGGATTCGATTTACTCGTGGTCTCCGTTGAAAACTCCCGAGCTCTGTTTCTCCGTTTCTTCGCAAGACGCCTTTTATTGAGCACTGTTTAAGGAGAGTGTCGCGAAGAAGCTATTTTGGCTCGAGCGTTATGCGTTGGGCTTGTCCTCAACGTCAACAAGTCGCTAGAATAGTCTTGGACGTTAAGTACCATGTACTGCTAAATAAATCGTCTCAGCGATGTCCGTCGATCCGTAATTCTGTGGGATGGCGCCAATCTCGTCTAAGTAAGTATGACTGGTGGACTGGCATGCGATACATACTGGATGGATTGTGTAAAGATAGCGTAGACTTGAGGCCGGCCGGATATCAGCAGCAGTTCGACATCCAACGCATCCTCACACTCCAACTTACTTCATATTTTTGTATTTCCTGGGAGCCAAGGGAAAAAAAATTGAAGCACCCGCCAATACTCTCATCATCATCATCATGTCATTAGTAGATTCCGAATCTTCTGCTCCTAGTATAGAACGCAGCAGCAACACAAGCAGCACATCTGCGTGTCCCTTCTCGGTAGAAATGATTGCTGACGAAAACGACGATGGTTCTGCCAACAGCGTTCACCTGGCAATTCCTGAATCCTCTTCCATGAAGTCTCTGAGACAGGAAGAAGAGGAGGACGAAGAGACAGGGCCGGAATTAGTTCGTGTAGACTCATCCGAGAACTCGGCATCGTCCACAGACGATAAAGAAGGGGAAAAGCCAGAGATGGCAACGCGAGTGTCGTCTTCTTCATCCAGGGAAGTGGTGAAGAAGAGTCAGGAAGATGCTGGAATGATTGATTGTTTATCAGATCAGTTTTCCAACATGTTTTGTCCGGCTGGGGAGTCACACTTGTGCATATCCAAAAAGGAAAATCGAATGGTTTCCTGTGAAGTTCCTTGCCAGGCCTTTGATCCTTCCGATCCTTCCACTGACGTCTTCTCACATCTTCAGTTTTGGTGGACTCCATCTCAGGAGGAAAAACTCCAACTGAAAAAGTCTCCCAAGAACCGATCCATGCGCAAGAAGCACAGACATGTCAAGAGTCTCATGGACAATTGGCATCCCAAACATTCGGAACCATTGGTGAGATCCAAATCCATCTTGGATGCTGGACATCAACAGCAAGTGGTACCTCAAAGTCCGACTATGGATACGGCTTGTTATGACTCCGATCCCGAAGAAGTCTACAAGAATGAAGAACGCCGGGAGTCTATGCATTTTGGTGGATTCAAGGATCGAAAACCTTCTCCTCTCAATACCTCGCTTGGTGATGATCGGCTAATGAGTGGTGGTCACCCACGAGCACCCACGAATGCGACTCGCAAAAACTTTCACTTTGCGTCTACGGACCGGTCTCCTTTGACTCCCAGCCACTTGGATCTCATGAGTCCGGAGAACGATGAATATATTCGAGAGTTTGTGCAGGTAAGAATATACATGAGCCGGCAGTGATACAGCAACATGCATATGCAAACAGATGCACTCACCAAAATCTTTCTCTCTCTCTCTCTCTCTCTTGATCCATCTATCTTAGGAGGTTACTAATAGCCGTCTCAACCTGATATGGCACCGTTACAATGAGCCCGAGGGAGACTGTCTTTCGGATGGTCTAAGGGCCCCAATGGCAGTCTCGGCTACCTTTGAGGTTGGAACTCATTTGGACCACAAGGTGGTCCAGCCCAAGTTGACTTGGAATGCTTCCAACTCGAATCAAAGTCCTGCAAAAAAGTCTCAACTCGATTCCAACTGGGTCGAATTGCTTTCTATTATCCGGGTCATTACTCCAAACAAGTTGAATCGCAAGTTGTATCCCTTTGCTCGCACGGACCGGACTCTTTGCATTGTGGCCAATGACAATCGCAATCCGTATCTGGTCTTTGAAGCAGAAAGCCAAGAACAGCGCGATTGGCTCGTTACGGCTCTCAAGATGACGGTAGCGCGATTGGCCTCTATCATTATCATTAAGGACGAGTCCATGCTACTTGAATTCTTTTCTCCCTATGCGGCTTTGATTTCACTCCGAGAACAGGAGGAAGCGGACGAAGAAGAATCTGTTGAGGAAGATGTGGATTTGGTCAATGGCGACCTTAACTTGATGGAAATGTCACCCGTCTTGTTTAATCCCAAGGATCTGTGAGAACTCTTCTCGCGGTGGAATTGTGATACTACAAATAGACTGTAGCACTACAATATAGTTATTATATTTGCTAAACAATACTAGTAATGATACCTATTGAGCTTTTAAATAAAAATGCGAGACAAGATGACGTTGTGATGACTACTCGTACAGTGTAAATGGCTTTGAGGCTTGTTTGTACTATGACTTTGTACATGGTAGAAACAAGCCTTTGGAAGGTTGTTAATCATTAATTTGCATGCTGCAGTGGCTACTCTAGCAGCAGACTGTTCCATGCATGCGTTACCAATACAAGTGACGTGGTCCACTGCTGATTGCTGTAGCAGCGTTTCGTGGTGCCGTACTGCTGTGTTTTGCCCCACGTTGCTTACCTTCATTCTGTAGGTACCTCTACAGCGACCAATAGAGCAAAGCTTTTTTTGGTTGGATTCCCGATCCGGGACTGTGCAAGTGAGTCCCCGTGTCATTCGGATTGGCCTAAAACCTGAATTCCCATAAGTATCTGCTATCGCCGTGGTGGCGCTTTTCGAGGAAAACAAGGAGAGAATCACGTCGTATCGAGATGATGGCGTTTGGATTTTGCCGCTCTTTATCAAGTTTCATAATGCATATAATTCCGACAGACTTTTTCCTCCGATAGGCCGAACTGAGTACCAGGTGCCCACCATAGTTCGGATTGGCACCCTGCTCGATAATCAGTTTCCTTAAGCCCTCTTGGCGCATTTCAAGGAAAGAGGAGTTCAGGATAAAATCGTTGCGTGGCCTATGTATGATGGATTTAAATGGGCAGATATATTTAGCCTTCTCTTTGATACTGTACTGTCGGTTTTCATGTCACATTGCCGCTCTTGTTGTCAGCTGTAAAGAGGAGAACCCCCGATTGCTTGATGATTTCTTGGACACTGACACGGCATCCAGTTCCCGTAGGCGCCTCCAGTACCAGGTGGTACGAGTACCGCATGCAGCCATGGGGTTGGCGCTTGAAGTCAAACAGAAAGAACATCAGGATTATACCGATACGATACCGTACCGGTATAGTGGGCAAAATAGTGCCTCCAACACCCAAACTCACAATTTACCAACACCCAATAATTTCAAATTGTTTCCCGATGATCTACGGTGCCAACAACGACAGCTGTGAAAAGGATAGCCACAGCAGCAGCTACTCTAATCTTGAGGATGACAGTCTAATGTCCCTTTTTGCATTTCCGCTGCCATCCTTGGATCAATTTGATTCGTTTGAATATCCTTTTGACGATCCAAGCATGGAACCTTTACCCCTCGGATCGCAAGCACAAGTTCCAGCACTGGTTCATTCAAGTTCTGATTCCAACGTCATGAATGAAAGCTCAAGCAAGAAGGGTCCCACAGGCAGTACTAATAGCCTTGTACAAGACCTCATCAACATTCTAAACCCTCTCACCAGCCAAACTGTTGTGTCCAAACGAAGCATCGAAGAGGCTTTCTTCGCTGATGACCAAGTTCGTGGTAACAAGCGTCAGAGGACGACCTGTCCTATGCAAGCTGCGAGCAGGACTCCTCAAGAAGAAAGCACGCCTCGATTCCGACCTTACCAGGAGACCCAGTGGAGAGCGCAGTTCCAAAAGCTCGTCCAGTACAAGCTTGAGCATGGACATTGCTCTGTTCCTCATGCTTATCCAGAGGATCCTATCCTAGCTCGATGGGTCAAGAGACAAAGATACCAATACAAGAAGTTTAACGATAACAGTCCTACATCTACAATGACAACTCGTCCATCCAAGACCTCGAAGCTATCGGTTTCGTATGGCACACTCAAGCGTTGGCTTGGCAGGAAAAGCTCAATGAGCTCAGAATCTTCAAGCAGCAAAAAGGCCATTGCAACGTCCCGGCTCACTACCCACAGAATGCCTCTCTGTCAACTTGGGTAAAAAGCCAACGTAGGCAGTACAAAATGTTCATTGCAGGGTCTTCGTCCTCGACTATAACGATGGAACGATTGCATATGCTAGAGTCCTTGGGGTTTGTCTTTGACATTCAAAAGTCCAAACAGACAATAGACTTTTGAGGAGCCTGCAAAGGAAAAACAAAAGGTGTCGGTGCACAACAAAATTTTATGTTAATATATAGAGGAAAGCCTGCAAAGGAAAAACGAAAAGTGTCGGTGCACAACAAAATTTTATGTTAATATACAGAGGAAGTTAGTGTAGAATAGGGACTGTACGGGTCCACTCCCTTGCCCTTCCTGACAATGATCGGCTAGAACTCCCCCCTTGGCCTCCATGGTATACCACTAGCATTATAGTCGTTGTATTCGCCAAAGAGTCTGCAGTTGGGTATATTGTGGAACGTGTCTTCTTGTTTGGTCGCTCGCTGTCGTAACGTAATTCAGGTAACGCTCGGTACGAGTACAGCGGGACCCATCGACTATAATTGTTTGTCGTAAAAGGCCTTTTTCACGAAGCAAACCTTCGGATTTGATAATCGCCGTTATCGACAGGGCCTATCTGATCTGACACCATAGCATGTCCAAGGTCTTTGAAAGAGAACAAAACATACATAACATCCGTCAATGAACGTCAGCCACTTTATTACGCCGCTTTCAAATTACATCGAGGCATGAGAGAAGGTGCCGGCAGAGCCCAAACTATTATATCAGTTCCCACAAACACATTACATCTCATCAACTGTTGACGCAAACAGTTCCCACAATGACTTATTTGGGATCTGCGTCTACTGTTCTCACAATTTCTCATTCACCCAATTTGTTGTTTTCCAATAATGATCTCCAGTTTTCCAATGATCTCCAGTACCAACAACAGGCACCGAAAGGATAGCTGCAGCAGCTATGACAATCTATTGTCGCTTATGATCAGCCCTTTGCTGCCCAACTTGGATGAACCAAGTTCATCTCTTCCTTCGTCTTTCATGGACCCCTTTGACGATCTAAGCATGGAACCTGTCCCTCTCAGCGGATCGAAAGGCCAAGCGCTTCCATCGCTGGTCCAATCTGATTCCATCTTCTTCATGAATGACGAATCAGCTTTTGATTCGATCTTTATGAACGAAGTCGTCAGCAACGAACCCACTTGCACTCCTACTCCTAACCATCTACAAGACCTCATCAGCATTCTGGACCCCCTCACTACCTCTAATCAAGGGGCCAAAAGAAGCAACGAAGCCTTCTTCACTGGTGATGACCAAGTGCGCGCCAAAAAGCGCCAACGACCGAGCTACACACATGCTGTTACTCCCGCAGAAGAAACTATGGTTCGGTTCCGACCGTACCAGGAGACACAATGGCGAGCGCAGTTCCAAAAGCTCATCCAGTACAAGCTTGAGCATGGACATTGCTCCGTTCCTCATGCTTATCCAGAGGATCCTATTCTAGCTCGATGGGTCAAGAGACAAAGATACCAATACAAGAAGTTCAACGATAACAATCCTACGTCTACGATGACGACTCGCCGCATTCAAGAGCTCGAATCCATCGGCTTTGTGTGGGATTCACACAAATCGGCTTGGCTGGAGAAGCTCAATGAGCTCAAGGTCTTCAAGCAACAACGAGGTCACTGCAACGTCCCCTCTAACTACCCACAGAATGCCGCTCTGTCAACTTGGGTCAAGTGCCAACGTCGTCAGTACAAACTGTTCATCACAGGGTCTTCATCTTCGACCATGACGCTGGAACGTCACCAAGATCTCGAATCCTTGGGTTTTGTCTTTGACATCCAAAGCCCGTCGAGGAAAACAAACTGAAGTTGTTCAAATCGTTTGCATGATTTCGAATAGACGATTGCACCATCATTGTATTATATGTAATAATAGAAATATTATTGACAAATGAAATACTCGCTCGCCCTCACCATAATATGTGGAAGCAGCCCTATCGGCGACGTTCAATTTCTCCATAGTCTTTTGGTCAACGATCAAAACATGGAAACGATCAAAAATATAAGCGCTGAAGGACAAGGTGATTTTGTGTGGGAAGAGAATGATGAGAAAGGTAAGAGTTGGATGCTTTCGGTGGATGATAGTCACTGTTGGATCGATCAATGAGCCTTCTCATTCGCACTGCAGTCAAGATCCCCGATACTACCTTCACCATTCAAGAGGAGTCTTCGCTCTATATATTCTGATTGAAGATGCTGTAGATAGATGTAAAGACAATAAACAAGAGTTCTACTAGACCAGCAAAAGACCAGCCTATTACACATATATCCTACGATCCTTGCTACTTCACTATAACATGTGATACAAATCTCAACAGATAGATATAAAATGTTCTTTGAAAAGCATTTCTTTCAAAATTCTGCTCGATTACAGCATTTCCGTTGACAATTCTTGTCATCTGAACTGATTGTGACACTTGTCGAACCAGTTGAGTCGCCAGTAGTCCGATCACGGTTGAAGACAACCATATCTGGGTTGTAGTAGAACTCAAACTTGAGAACAGGAAGCTTGGAGAAGTCCGATGGAGCTTGATATCAATCCAAATCCTGTTTATTGTTGGCATCGAGTTTAATAACAATCTTCTTCACATCTCGAATGGATTCTTTCGTGCCTTTCAATGACGCCACTTGATATTAGGCACATTCCCGCCTGGAGCTAATGTTTCACCGGGTCCTACAAAAAAAGGCATGTTGTCGACTTCCTCTATGACCTTGACGAAGCGATAGTTCTCGCACATGAGCGTATTTCCCTATTCTCTGCCGTCCCTCGCTATTACTTTGGACCATGAACAGGTTGGGCGGGCATGATGAATTTTGTGAGGACTTCAGCAACGTAGCTTTTTCTTTGTCGCCATAATGATGATGAAAGGTTCATATGATGCATCCTGTGGGCGATTCGAAGACGGATTTCGAACCAAAGAGTTGGCCAACAGTCCTTTTTCGTCAGTTGAAACATCAGTGATGATGAGTTCGAGGTTTTTTTGCTGTCGTCGTCGCCTTTCGAATTGATTATTCTTGTCGTCTTTCGAACAATTATAATATTGCGGGGCCCGATATTATATATATAAATTTGACTGCAAAAATTAATGGGGGAAGCCAAAAGAAAAGTCCTCCCCGCTCCTCCCCCCAATGCAAATTAGAAGACAGACGCAGAGGAGTCAGTCGCTATCGCATCGTTAATTATTGGCGCTTCAAAGAAAACAAGGAGAAAATCGCATCTTATCGAGATGATGGCGTATCGATTACGCCGCTTTTTATCCTTTTTCATATTATATCGACAGACTTTCCCCCCCGATAGGCCGAACTGAGTACGAGTATAAAAGTATTGTACCTACCATAGTTCGGAGTTCATCTGTCAGCTGTAAGGAGGAGAACCCCGATTACTTTATTCGTTCGCGATCCGACACTGACGCTGCATGCAGTTTGGTACTTCTTCACTCTGCAGTACCTGGTACCTACCAGGGTACCGGCCCCCATGTTGAAGTCAAAAAGAAAGAACAGTACCGGTAGGATTATACCGAAACAATACCGTACCGGTAGTGGGCAAATATAGTTCCTGCAGCACTACTACTGTAAAACTCAGAATTTTGAAACTTCTACTAACACCCAATAATTTCAAATTATTTCCCGATGATCTACGGTGCCAACAATGATAGCTGTGAAAAGGATAGCCACAGCAGCAGCTACTCTAATCTTGAGGATGACAGTCTAATGTCCCTTTTGGCATTTCCGCTGCCCTCCTTGGATCAATTTGATTCGTTTGAAGATCCTTTTGACAATCCAAGCATGGAACCTTTACCCCTCGGATCGCAAGCACAAGTTCCAGCACTGGTTCATTCAAGTTCTGATTCCAACGTCATGAACGAAAGCTCCAGCACGAAGGATCCAACAGGCACTACTAATAGCCATGTACAAGATCTCATCAACATTCTAAACCCTCTCACAAATTCTGTGGGGTCAAAGAGAACCACCAACGACACCGATTACTACGTGCCTACTCGTAGCACCAAAGTCAACGGACGACGACTCCAGGCAAAGGGAGACCCAGTGGAGAGCGCAGTTCCAAAAGCTCGTCAAGTACAAGCTTGAGCATGGACATTGCTCTGTTCCTCATTTGTATCCAGAGGATCCTATCTTAGCCCGATGGGTTAAAAGACGACAAAGATATCAATATAAGAAGTTCAATGTTAATAATCCTACATCTACGATGACCACTCGTTGCATCCAAGACCCCGAAGCTATCGGTTTCGTATGGCACACTCAAGCGTTGGCTTGGCAGGAAAAGCTCAATGAGCTCAAGCAGCAAAAAGGTCATTGCAACGTCCCGTCTCACTACCCACATAATGCCTCTCTGTCAACTTGGGTAAAAAGCCAACGTAGGCAGTACAAAATGTTCATTGCAGGGTCTTCGTCCTCGACTATAACGATGGAACGATTGCATATGCTAGAGTCCTTGGGGTTTGTCTTTGACATTCAAAAGTCCAAACAGACAATAGACTTTTGAGGAGCCTGCAAAGGAAAAACAAAACGTACGGTCCACAAATATAGAATATCATTTTTCAATAAAAATAGTTTAGAACATGGACTGCTGCTGTATGCGATTCCACATAGGTGTCCTGGTGATCGTGGTCATTGAATTCGCCAACAACTCTGCAGTTGGGTGTTCGTGGATACTCAAAGCTGTAGCGTGTACAGTTGAGAATGCAGGCACAAGGTTTAATTGTCCAGGCTTCAAGTACTGAATTAGTTGTAAAAAGTTGTGATAATAAAACAGTATTCTGAAAATTATAGTGATTTTGTATTGTGAAGGATGTAAACAGGATGAAACTCCGACCACCTCAATGCATGCAATAGGGACGCTTAATCTTGACAACATTGAGAATGTGGCGAAGCTTAGCGAAAGAGCATTGTAGTCAAGATTGGGGATCTTGATACCTGTATAAGATACTTTGGATAGGTTAGCCGTTGGGGTGCAGACGTTCAGTAACGGCTATCATCTGATGGACAAACAGACGACTTTCGACTCTCCCTCTCATCGGAAACTTCAACACAAAACGTCATCACTGGAATTTGCGAAACAAATAGATCTGTAAAGATGTTGCATCTCACTGGTGAGCAGGCGAGTTCAACAACCGGAGTTGTCTACGTCTCGCTGCTCTATGCAAATGTACAAGGGTTAGGGTGATTGTACAAAGGTGTCACTACCCTTGCACTTGAAAACGATTGCTCTCGAAAGGTTCACAAGACTGTGCCTTTGTGAAGTAAGCAGCATCTTGGAGCAATGTGTCCACCTCGTGGATGGCAACAGTTTCTGGGCCAACGCCGTCTTTGGTGACGTGTTGCCAGAACCAGTGCCACTTGTTGAGATACCATCGAGTGCGAGATATGATTCTTTGGTTGGTGGCCAGAAAGTATGCGCCTTGGTTGTCTTCAAATGCTAAAGCCCGGATGGTGGCACGGATGCCGTCGCCAAGTTCAACGTGGTCAGTGGCTTGAATGAGAAGGCGCTTGAACGGAATTAAAGTCTTTAGAGCAGAAGAGAGAGCATTGTATTTGGCCTTAAGCGTGGAGCATGTGATGGATGTTTGAAGCTGGGAGCGCCAAACCAGCCGGCAATTGCTCAACTTTACAATAAACCCGGTGTGTGATCAAACGGAGTTTGGATCTGTGTGAGGTTTGGTATTGTAGAGTCCACAGAAGTCGGCATTGACAAACAAATTGAGGTTCAGTTTTCCTGTAGGCTTGACGATCATGCCTTTTGTGCAAGTGCGTTTCAGGTAACAAATAATTGTTTTCACAGCCATTGTATGGGATTGCTTTGTATCAGAGGAGAATCGTGCCACTTGGCTGACAGCAAAGGTAATGTCTGGCCGTGTGTTTGTCAAGAGGTACATTAACATTCCGACAATTGATTGATAGTTCCATTCTTCGTTCATAGGTTCACCATCAGGATCTTTGCCAAGGGGACCAGTAGCGGGGACTCGATTGGGATTGCAATCGGTCATTCCGGTTGCTTCCAATACTTTGTCAACCAAACCAGTCTGAGTAAGTTCAACTGAACCATCTTTGCGTTTGTCAAATTTTATGCCAAGAAACTCATTAAAATCGCCTTCTTTCTTTAGTTCAAATTTGAGTTCTCTGAGTTCCTCAATGAGCTTGTCAATGTCTGCTGGATCTTTGGCACCGATTCCGGCGTCATCAACATACAGAACCACCATCATGCCTTTCTTGTACAAAAGATACGGATCAAAATTGGATTGTTTGAATCCACACTTGGTGAATCCTTCCACGGCGGTCGTATTCCATAGCGCAGGAGCAGCCTTGGTCCCATATAGTGACTTGTTCAGTTGAAGGCATGTTCCTTTGCCCTTTGGAGAGACCAATCTTCAAGGTAAGTGTACCCATTTTGGTTTGTCCAGTTTGCATTGTACAAATGCATTACTGAAGTCAACCAAGACGGGGGTGGCCCATCCAAGGATCAAGCAAAGGACAAGAAACAGACGGACAGTACTCCATGCAACGGTAGGTGCAAACGTGTTTTTGTCAACATCCATTTCTTCCAGGTCTCCTCTCACACAGTATCTTGCCTTGAATTTGGTCATTTCTCCGCTTTTGTACAAGCTTGGAATGAAGCTGCAGTCATGGGAGTGTTTTGTGATGATGAGCTCCAACGCCAGCAAATGAGTGAATTTGTGAGAACTTGAGTAAGTGTTCATTGTATTCTTGCGATGTGCAGGGCCTTCCATTGTCACTTTGATATTCAAGTACAACTACTCCAAAGTCTCAAAGTTGTTCTTCCACAGATATCTTTGCACTCAACGTCTCTTGGGTGTTCAGATGAACTTGATGCTTGACGAACACATAACCTGATGCATGGTCAACGAAGGTGCAACCTCCAGTGTACTGTGTCTTGGGATCTTCTTTGCCAAGGTATGAAGCAATTGTCCTCTTGTGGTACACTCAAAGTGGTTTGTATTGATGCTGGTAAATGCGTCAAATCGGTTAAGGGCAGTTCCATGGGAGTATAATAGGTAAGCGATGTTGGCAACTTCGTTGAAGGGTCGTGGTCAACGTGTACTGAATTTGTTTTGTCTGTTCCTGACAACTGTAGATGATCAGCGTTCATTGAGATGGGCTCATTGGTGTATCTCTGGAGCAAACTTGAAGTACTGAGCAAACAAGCTGTGGCAGAAGGTGCGTATAGGGCAAGCACCTTGATTGTTTGCAACATGCCAGTTGTATCAACCACTGACCATGCAACATGTCCAATCCCTTTGATTTCCAGGCCGCTAGCGATTCCAAGAAGCTTGAGTCCAAGAGGTGCTGGCTCAAGTTTTCACACAAAATCGTCCTTGTAAGGTGAGATCGAGGTTGTTGCACCGGAATCCCAGATTATTGGGTACCTTGTTGTCTTTTCATCACCCGACATATCTGATCTCAATTCATCTGGATTCATTGCAGCACGAAAGCAGTTGATGATCTTGCTGAATTGTTGTGGAATATCGGCGTTCTTAAAGAAGGCTTTGGCTGCGGGAGAAGATAGAACGGCAACGTGGGCCATTGAGAGTCTGACACCAACGGTAGGTCTGTAGATTTGTGGCATGTTTGGTCTGCGGCAAAGTGTCATCCTTTGTCTGTGCATTTGATCCATTCTTGGAAAGGTATTGAAGAGGCGGAAGATGTCGTCACTTGGTGTCGAGGAAGGGTCATGGCGATTGGAACGATGTCTGGAAGAGTCGTGGCGACAGGAACAAGGTCTGGGAGGATCCAAACGGAAGGCATCATCTTCACTTGGCTGGCAAGGACCTTGGTAGAAGGTCCAGTTTTTATCACCAGGACGCCGACACCGATGGTCATCACGGGGTGTTTCACGGGAAGTGGTAGCACGAGGGGTACTAGGTTTGTTGTGGTTCATGTTTCTCCAACCGTCATTTGTTCTCTGCCAATTGCTTTGATCATTTTGATTTCTCTGATGTCTTCTGTTGCTTCTCCAATTATCTCCCTCTTGACAGGAACGACAAAACGTGAGAGACTCCAAAAACTGAATGATATGTTGGAGATATCCTGAGATCTTGGGCAAGACGACGGCAGGTGGCGAGACCATAGTGACGGGTGTGACGGCAATGGCTGAAGGAAGTGGGGCGGCGCTGACGACGGCATTTTTGAATGTATCGTTTGTACCACAGGAGTGGAGCAAGGCGGTTGGTCGGGGATCCCTCAAAGACAGCAATGACAGTGGAAGTGGCAGTGAATAGGTAGGCGGAGGCCGCGGTAGCTTGACTCATCATGAAGGAGACTTGATCGGCCAAGAAAGAGGATGCAGTCAAGACTTGATTGGCCATGAAAGCTGAAACATTTGGTGTAGTGACACCAATGGAACGGGCCAAGAAGAAGGCAGCAACCAACTGGGGATGGTAACTCAAGAAGTGTTAGATGATGGTCCAGACAACACGTAGGGGCAGAAGACTGGGCTGACCATGGCGGAAGGGAGTGCACCAGGCTCCAGCAAAGCGTAGGTGATTTGCTTGGGGTCCCAAACCTTTCAAGTCGCGCTTGGTGGCATCATTGGTATGGCCGTCAGTACCATGGGTGGTCAACCAACGTCCACAGTGAACACACCAGACTGGACCGTGAATCTTGGATGTCCGTTGACAATACAGAGCATTTCACCAGAGACTGGATCAGGTACGTGAGTGATGGCAAAGAACCCATTTGCTTTCTATGAATTCTTGTATCTGACGCTTGAACTCCTTGAGATTGCCTTTTCTGACAAACTTGACAGGCAGACCTTGGGTACGTAGATGAAGGTACTTCCCATCTCCATAGATGGGACGTTGCTGGTTTGGAGAAAATGCCAGTGGTGCACTGGTGTCCAATGCGCTCCAGTCCTTCAATGGTTTGCCAGTTCAAACTGAGTCGTCATTGAGTTCTGCGGCGACGTCAACAAGAGATGCTGGAGAGCCGTCTCCTGTAGGACCATTTGGGCGAGACAGAGTCTCTATCTTTGCAGATGTGAGCTTGGAAAGCTTGTGGGCCGGTAGTTAGGTGCTTGGAAAGCTCGATCGATGCTTGGAGAGCTGGTGGTAGCTTGGGAAGCTAGCGAAGTACTTCTCTGTTGTAGGCTCCGAGAGCTTTCGTTGGTAGCTCTAATGGACGTCTCCAAATAGGCTGGTAGCGTAACTTATTAGGTATAAATTGGGCGTAAATAACCACTCAAAGCTGTAGTGTGTACAGCCTTGATTACTTGAGAATGCAGGCACAAGGTTGTCCAGGCTTATTGTTGTGCTTCAAGTACTGAATTAGTTGTAAAATGTCCCACAATGTGTGATAAAAAAACAGTATTCCGAAAATTATAGTGATTTTGTATTGTGAAGGATGTAAACAGGATGAAACTCCGACTGTCTCAACGCATGCAATAGCGATGCTTAGTCTTAACAACATTGAAAATGTGGCGAAGCTTAGCGAAGGAGCATTGTAGTCAAGATTGGGAATCTTGATACCTGTACAAGATACTTTGGATAGGTTAGCCGTTGGGGTGCAGACCAAGAGTATAGTGCAGACGTTCAGTAACGGCTATCATCTGATGGACAAACAGACGACTTTCGACTTGGATCGTGGAAATGTCGATCATGAAAAGCCAATAAGTTAGGGTCGCATTGAAAGAATGTTTTCGTGTTTGTTTGCTTGCCACGCCATTACGAAACTACTGTGCCGCCCGGTACCAGGACCCTCCGCAACTCGTCTGTCGATCGACCGTTTTTTGAGCGGATAGACAATGCACATGCGCGCGTTACATCCCCCCGACAGCAGGGGTCCCACCATAAAATAAAAAGACATTTCGAAACGATT